ATGAAGGAGCCTTCTAGGGTACTGAGAATGCTTTTTGTCTTAAGCCAGGTAGTGCGTACAAGGGTGTATACACATTTAAAAACCATTTCACTGTACACTTAAGATTTGTGCCCTTACTGTCTACTTCTACTACATATCATCAGAAATTGGAACTCATTTGCAGAGTCCTTCTTCTGGGGTCCTGGGCAGAGGAGGTGTTTTCTCTTCATTTCCCTTTCTTTTGTCAGTTTCTGTGTATATTCTTGTCTTTACACCTCATCATATGTGCTTTTAACAAGGGACAGGAAGTGTCTTGCTCTGCAAGACTCTTTTGGTGTTGAGTTTTTTCCCCCATTTTAGTTAAGTATTCAGCGAAGATGAAAGTTAAGTAGGTAACTTTTTGACCGTTAAAAAAAGAATTCATGGCGCCGGCCCGGTGGCATAGTGGTTAAATTCACGCGCTCTGCTTCAGTGGCCCAGGGTTCCCGGGCACAGACCTATGCACTGCGTATCAAGCCACGCTGTGGCAGGTGTCCCACATATAAAGTGGAGGAAGATGGGCACGGATGTTAGCCCAGGGCCGATCTTCCTCAGCAAAAAGAGGAGGATTGGCAACAGATGTTAGCTCAGAGCTGATCTTCCTCACTAAAAAAAAAATAATTCATAATTGACAGTGTGTACTCAGTAGAGGTATGGGGCATGCCGCTGGCCAGAGTCCCATCTCTCACTCTGAGATGCTGTGATGCATCTTGCCCCTCTCTGCATTATTCCATCCTGCAGTTGGCAGCGTTCAGACCTCTGGGAGGGGGAATGGCAGACTCAAGTGCTTTCGAAGGTCTGGAGTATGGGCGTCATTTTCTATGCCTTCGAACCCCCTTGGCAGTCTGTGAGGCCTGTGGACCCCTTCTCAGAATAATGTTTTTAATGCATAAAATATGTAGGATTACAAAGGAAAACAGTTTTATTGAAATGGTTATCAAAATGATTTTTTAAGACCTAATTCATGATACCATAATATGCATGCTTTTTTATTAGTACATTAAATAAGAAATCCAGCAACGGGTCTCATAATTATTGTAATTTTGAACAGTGAAGAATGTAAACAGTATTTTGAGATATCTGCAATCGCTATATAGAGTTCTGAAAATACCTGTGATTTTTTTATTTTTGGTGACAAGGTTACCAGGGCTGTGGTTCTACTGTAGTTGTTTGCATACATTCGTAGTTGAATGAAACTAAATTTCAGTTAGAAGTTAGGAAAAATAAAGATTTTTTTTTTTTTGCCCCGTCCAAGCTCACACCCATCCCGGATTCTTCTAGAACCCCTGGCATAAAGCATTGATTCTCAAAGTTCAGTGTTCATCAGAATCACCTGGGATGCTTGTTAAAATTCAGATTCTAGGGCCCTACCCACAGAAATCCTGAGTTGGAGGTCTAGAATGGGCCCCCCGGTGCACATTTTAACAAATTTAGAAGCACTGAGTTAAGACCTGGCACAGCTGCCTGAAAGAAGTCTCTCTGTGCCATGAAAGTCTTGGAGGCTCCAGTGGCTTAAATGTCCTGGTGACTTCAAGGTCTCCTCTCCAGGCTCTGCTGATGCTTTCTAGGATCCAGGACCTTGGGACCGTGACACCAACCACTGTGGAGTCTCCTGCCCAAGGCCAGCTGCCTTGGCTGGACCACCCCATGTCTGGTCAGCTGATGCCTGAGGCTGGCTGATAGATGCCAGGGTCGTACCGTAGCTGTGTGCTGCCCGATGCATAGTGGAAAGAGCTCTGGACCAGGACTCCCCACTGCCAGTGGTTTATGGTTGTAAAATGAATAGCTGTTGATAATGAATCATTCAGAAATTCTACAAGGTGCAAAATCCAATTATATGCTTTTCTTGAGTCACACCAAAGGTCAAAACTAAGAGGCAACATCTTGAATAGGTGATCAACATTGACATCACCAATGAGGAACAGGTGCATATCTTAAAATATGATAAGCTGAGAAGAACAAGCATCCCTGATGTAGTATTCTGACCAGGTATGCATGACCTGAATCTAATCGTGGAGAAACATCAGACAAACCAAATGAGGAGTGCTTTATTTAAAAAAAGAGGAAAGGGGCCGCCCTGGTGGCGCAAGGGGTGAAGTGCTCGCGCGCTCCGCTTCGGCGGCCCAGGGTTCGCGGGGTCTGATCCCGGGCGAGCACCAATGCACCGCTTGTATCGCCATGCTGTGGCCGCGTCCGTATAAAGTAGAGGAAGAGGGGCACGGATGTTAGCTCAGGGCCAATCTTCCTCGGCAAAAAAGAGGAGGATCGGCATCAGATGTTAGCTCAGGCCTGATCTTCCTCACAAAAATAAAAAAAATTAAAAAAAAAAAAAAGGAGAGAGGTATGTGCTGCATTCCTCAAAAATGACAGTGTCATAAAAGACAAAGAAAGTCTGTGGAAGTGTTCCAGATTAAGGGAGTCTGAAGAGACATGACAACTAAATGTACTGCAGGGGGAAATGCTTTAAATGACATCGTTGAGTCAATCAACAAAATTGGAACACAGATGGTAGATGAAAGTAGGGTATCAATGTTAAATTTACAAAAGTTGATAAAACTGTATTGTGGTTATGTAAGAAAATATACCTGTTCTTGGGAAATACACGCTGAAGTATTTAGGGATAAACAGCTATTATTTATGCATCTTGGTCTTAAATAGTTCAGAAAAAATACTGTGCATCTGTGTGTGTGTGTGTGTGTGTGTGTGTGTGTGTGTGTGTGTGTAGACAGAGAGAAAGGCATGGACAAATGAGTAAATGGGGTAAGTCAGTGAATCTGGTAAAGCGTGTACAAGTGCTCTTTGCACTCTTCTTATTCTTGCCTCTTTTACGTAAGTCTAAAATTATTTCCAAATAAAATTTATATATACGTATGTATACATATATATAGCTGAATTTTAAAAATTCAAGAAAAATCCAATAAAAGCACAATAATACTAAGAAACCTTAACTTACTTTTTTACTCCTTGATAGATTAAAAAGGCAGAACATAGGGGCTGGCCTGGTGGCATAGTGGTTAAGTTCACACTCTCCGCTTTGGTGGCCTGGGGTTCGCAGGTTCGGATCCCAGGTGTGGAGCTATGCACCGCTCATCCAGCCGTGCTGTGGCGACATCCCACATATAAAATGGAGGAAGATGGGCACAGATCTTAGCTCAGGGCCAATCTTACTCGGCAAAAAGAGGAAGATTGGCAATGGATGTTAGCTCAGGGCCAATCTCCCTGACCAAAAAAAAAAAATAGGCAGAATATAAAAAAGGACACAGAAGATGACGTAGCGGTTAAGATTTTAAAAGAGAAAAAAAGTCTGAAATTGGAACTAATTTCAGTTTCAGCTCCACTGCTTATTATGTCTGCAACCTTAGGCAACATATTCCAACTCTCTAAGCCTCAGTTTCCTCATCTGAAAGTAGGGGGATAAAATTGAATCTGCCTCGTGAAGTTGCTGGAGATACCATGGAGATGATGCATATAAAGTGCCTCGCCTATGACTCGGTGCTTAGAGCTCTCTCAATGAATGTTAGTATTTCCAGAGCAATGAGAAAGACGGAAAGCATCCTAATTCACTTTATAAAGTAATATAACCCTGAACTATGATGGAAATACACACAGAAGAGAAACCTATAGATCTATCTCACTAACAAATACGATACATGAATCATTTTTTTTCAATCCAGCAGTATGTCAAAAGAATGCTATACCGTGACCTAGTAGAGTGCACTCCAGAAATCTAAGAGCCGTTCAGCATCAGGAGCTGTTAGTATAATCATTACATTTCCATGATTTCCCCCCATTTAGCCTATTCTCTCAACAGTTGACAAAAAAAAGCTTTCAGTAAAATTCAATATTCATTCCTGAGGAATGAATATAAGGAGGAAAGCCTCTTTATAAACTTGGACTTGAAGGAAACTTCTTCAACATGATAAAGAAACTGTCCACAAACTTCTAGTAAATCACTAGAGGCGTGTCAGAGTCAGAAAATTATGTTCCAGTAGTCTGTCTTACACACGTGGCACAATGTAGATGTCAATGGAGTTTCAAAGTGTGTATTCAGTGTGATTCTATTTTGGTAAGAAAAATAGATATGTATGTACCTGTAGGAAAAAAATTAGAAGAAACCGTACCAAATCATTAATAATGATTAACTTTGGTAGAGGATTCTGATTATTCATTATGTTTATCCATATTTTCTACATTAATTGAGTTATTTTTATGATTAATTTTTAAAATTCTTTTTTTTAAACAGTTTTTTATTTATTTATTTATTTTATTTATTTATTTTTGTGAGGAAGATCAGCCCTGAGCTAACATCCATGCTAATCCTCCTCTTTTTGCTGAGGAAGACCGGCTCTGAGCTAACATCTATTGCCAATCCTCCTCCTTTTTTTTTTCCCAAAAGCCCCAGTAGATAGTTGTATGTCGTAGTTGCACATCCTTATCGTTGTTGTATGTGGGACGTGGCCCCAGCATGGCCAGAGAAGCGGTGCATCAGTGCGTGCCCAGGATCCAAACCCGGGCCGCCAGTAGCGGAGCGCATGCACTTAACCGCTAAGCCACGGGGCCAGCCCCTAAAATTCTTTAAAAAATATAAATTCAAATAAGATGCTGCACAGATGTATTCCAGGTGAAATGTGCCTGATTCAGGGGTAACAGACAGAAGGGCATGCCTCTAGGGGGCACCCACTCCCAAATATTGTGGAAGCTTTGGATCAGAAAGGAGAGAAACTTGAAACTCAAGTTATACTCAAGTTAGAAATAGCTGAACTCACTGGTTCACGTGGTTCTTTTTCTTACACCCCAAAGACCTCCAGAATGCTTCTATGATATAGATTTAGACTGTCTCTTCTAATGAAAACGTGTGGTTACAGCCCTGTTTGTATGCTTTTAACAATAACTTTTCTGGTTCTTTGGCCTCTGGTTCATTACCAGCTTCTTGTTTACTTTCTAAATAAGCGTCTTAATGGCACAACTTTGTTCCGTTACAGAACGCAACTGCTCTGCCAGGTACGTGGCGAAGAACAGACGTGCACTTAGAGAACCCAGAATACCACACCAGATGGTATTTCAAGTATTTTTTAGGACAAGGTAATTATGCCATTACGGTGGTTGGGAAGAAAGGATATTCAAAATGAAAATTAGTGTTCGTATAATTTCTGGTACCCTGTATGTGTGAAACTAACAAGTTCAGGGACACTAATGTCCGGGCGTTGCACTTCAAAGTCAGTAGTAAACTTTGCAGATTTGAAGATTCAATTCAGAGTCAGCTCTAGGAGTTTTTCTCGTAATTTTTAAATTTATTTTTTAATTATTTAATTTTTTTATTTAGTTATTTTTTGCCAGTTGTTTTTTCCCCTGGGGAGTTAAAGGGGATTAGATCATCTGAATGAGTGATTTGAGAGATGAGAAGAATTTGCAGGGTGGAAAACAACAAGGCATGTACCCTATCAATAGTGAGTTTTGAACACTGAGGCGATGAGGGAGAGGAATGGTTCCCTGAGCTCCAGGGCTAATGTAGAACTAGAGAGGCATTATGCTATAGGCTCTGGTGTCATTCATTCATCAGTGACAAGTATTTATCACCTACCATGTGCCAGGCAATATATACTGGCAAAGGCAGCCATGATCCTTGCCCTCATGGAGACTATAGAACGGATTTGAATCCTGGTTCTGCCATTACTAACATAGGACCTTACACTAGTTACTCTCCACTTCTCTGAGACTTAATTCCTTATCTGTAAAGTGGGGATATTACTAGTACATACCTAGTATGTGTGAACAGAAGTTTCAATGAGATATGCAGGAAGAACACTAAGCCGGATGCCTGGCACGTACCAAGAGCTCTGTCCTGAACAGCGTTGTACAATTAGAGTGAAGGCCTCAAGTGAACTATATGGAAAGACAGAAAACTGGAGTGTGGTTAACAACAGAGGATACTAGGAATGAAAGAATAATCACTATTGCAGGATTAGAAATGAGTTAGACAAATTGCTTATCAGGCTAATGCATTTGTTTGTAGAAGATATGATGCTTGAGCTATAAAATGAGAGTGATCAGATGCACATGATGTCTACTAAAAAATCTGATACTGTATTATTCTAAGAAGTTCACTTATTTGGCAAGGCATTTTTCTTTATAAAGAAAGAAATCAGTGGGAAAATTGTCATCTTCCCAAATGCTTGAAAACACAGTGCCCAGAGTTATGATGACTTTAGAGAAAAATGGTGCCATGAGTTTAGATGCCTTCAGCTTCCTCAACTGGCTTAAACAATAGGGGATATAACAAGAAACTCAGAGGAAGGGTGGGCTCTGGGGTTGGTGGATTCAGAGGCTCAGTGATGTCATCAAGGCTGGCCCTCCTCTGGGTCACAAGATGGTTGCAGCAATTCCAGGCATCACTTCTAGACACTACCATGTCCAGAGGAAGAAGAAGGCCATCTTCAGGAGTGAGGCCATCTTCTATCTTATTGGCCAGAATTGGGTCACATGTTTATTCCTGAACCAATCACTGGCAAGAGCAATGGGAGTGCGTGATTGGTCTAGAGTGATCAGGTTCTATCCCGAGCTAGGTTTGGGATTATTATTCCCCGATCATGTGGGAAGGGCTGGATACCACCTGAAGTGTCCACTGCTACCAGTGCCTGGAAGAACCAGTTGTATTTTCGCTGTTCTAAACCTGTTTCTTTTCCAGTCCATCAGAATTACATTGGAAATGATGCAGAGAAGAGCCCCTTCTTCTTGTCTGTGACCCTTTCTGACCAAAACAATCAGCGTGTCCCCCAGTACCGTGCAATTCTTTGGAGGAAAACAGTAAGTAACTGGCTTGTACCTAGAGTTTCCTCATCACTCCAGAATTAGTGTCGTTGTCAGAGTGGCTCAGGTAAGCCTTTTTCTATGAGGTTCTTTGAGTTTGGATCTTCAAGCTTGTACTCTTCACAGGTGGAACCTTCGAGCTCTGAGTTTAACAGCAACTTTTCCCATATTCTAATTCCCACTAATTATACACGTCCATTTCCCTCAATCTCTGGCCTGTGGGAATACAGAACTGTATTTTACAGAGTATTAACTTTAGCTGTTACTAATACTGAAAGTGATGAACTGGCTCACCTTCAACTAAAAGAAACAAAATTTAGTGGAAGAATATTATATTACTACATGGGTAAGGCCCTTGGGTTTTCCTGTTTCCGTGAGTCAGTCAGTCAACCACTGAATCAGTTGTGCTTCTAGAATGTGTTTGAGGCTTAGGCCCTTTCATCAATTTCATGAGGTAGAAAAACACCTCTAGACTTAACAAGTCCCCCCGCCATGGTGGGTTCTGAACACATAGGTGAGGACAGTGAGCCCTTTCAGGGTTGAAAGACAAGCCCTTTCAACCAGGGATGCAGGTCTTTCTTTGGCTCAGGAAAGTTTGCTTATGTCGTGTTCACTTTTGTTGCTTCTTTTCCTATTTTCTGAATTCTTTTTCTAGCAATTCTTATATTTGACCTCTCTTTCATCTTTTATTTTTTCTCATTATTTTATTCTCTTGGTTTTTTGTTATCTTTGCTTCTCAGAGAATTTTTTTCAGAGACCACGTGGACAGACACTGGAAAGAGCAAAGGATTTGGAGTTAAGCAAACTAGGGTCAAATTACCTCAATAACAAACTCATTTGTGTGAATTTGAGAAAATTGCTTATGCCCTCTGGGCCTCCATTTTCTTCTTTGTAAAATGGGGAGAGTTCTGGGCTGTGTCTCACAGGGTGATGAGGACTAAAGAGACTACATTAAGTGAGATCTTGTTTGAAAACCCACACTTACCCAGTGTCCCAAATCATCAAATCTTGAACTGCTAAGAAGCTTAAAGGACAAAACATTTACTCTTGAATTGGTGAGTACAGTGTATAATTAAAAAACAGTAAAACAAACCACACTTAGAAAAGACTAGTCCTATTAGTTGGTGGTCTCACTTTATGGGTACATTTGTTGAAATCCAGTATTTAAATAATTGCATGCTTATTTTTAATCTCAGCTACATAGTATATCAAAAATTGCTATGTAGATCTTTTTGGAAAAGAAGTAATACAGAAACTTAAAAAAACAGTAATTTTTTAATACACATACACACATTTGCATGCATGCACGCATAGCAATAAAGTAGCACCTGCAAAAAGCGCAGAAAGAATTTCCAGGAACCACTACAGTAAACTGTGGTTAGGAACTTTTTGTGATGATTAAAAGTAGTAATGGGGCCAGCCCAGTGGCGCAGCAGTTAAGTGCTCGCACTCCGCTTCGGCGACCCAGGGTTTGCAGCGAGTTCAGATCCCGGGTGCGCACCAACACACCACTTGTCAAGCCGTGCTGTGGTGGCGTCCCCTATAAAGTAGAGGAAGATGGGCACAGATGTTAGCCCAGGGCCAATCTTCCTCAGCAAAAAAGAGGAGGATTGGCATCAGATGTTAGCTCAGGGCTGATCTTCCTCACACACACACAAAAAAAGTAGTAATAGTGGGGCTGGCCCAGTGGCATAGTGGTTGAGTTCAAGCACTCTGCTTCGGTGGCCTGGGGTTCACAGGTTCAGATCCCAGGCACGAACCTACGCACCACTCGTCAAGCAATGCTGTGGCAGCATCCCACATACAAAATAAAGGAAGATGGGCAAAGATGTTAGCTCAGGGCCAGTCTTCCTCAGGAAAAAGAGGAGGATTGGCAACGGAGGTTAGCTTAGGGCTAATCTTCCTCACCAAAAAAAAAAAAAAGTAGTAATGGTAATAACACAATCTAACATTTATTGGGCACTTACTGTATGCCAGGTACTATACTAAGTCCTCCAAATGCGTTATCTGAGTGGGTGTTACTGCAGTTTAGGGAGGTTAAGTGACATGACTGAGGCCACAGGCCAGTAGGCAACAGACCAGGCAGAACCCAGGACTGCACGCAGAGCTGTCGCCACCATACGTAACTAATTCTATATGTAATTCCTTGACTCACGCCGTCTCTCTCCCTAGGTGGTGAGCTCCCTGAAAGTAGGGGATATCACTGCCTTGTTCTCAGGATCCCCACCACCAAGCCTAGTGCCTGGTCCACAGAAGGAGCGCCACAAATATTTGTTGAATGAATTAATGAATAATGCCAAAGTCCAGTTTAACCTGTGTGCTATGCTGCCTCTATTTATATAAGTTTCTGTGTTACATTTCAGAAATTTTTCTTTTTTTAAGCAGGTTTAAGGTGAAAATCTGATGTAAAATAGAGTTAGATCTTACTTGTGAATTACTTCCTGCAGGAATTTTTTGGCACTTACCCCTCTCCCCGTGCCACTGCCATTGGGGTCAGTCTTGCCATCAGCATAGCTGTTCTTGAAGCAAAGATTATACAAGTTTTAGAAGATAACGTTGCAGAGCTGTGTGCCCGCTTTTCTCAAGCACGTGCGTGATAGTCTTTTCTCAGTATTCACGTAGTGAGAAGTGATAGTGCCCTCGTCCAGAGCCTCTTATCTCTGTACCAGGAAGGCTGTTGACTGGTGCTTCATTTTTGTTTGTTTGTTTGTTGTATGTTTGCTGATTACAGTATTCCAGTCTCTTCTGGTTTAATATTCTCTTGGGATGACTCTGTCTCTTTTGGACAAATGATCAGTCTTTCCGATTTCTTTCCCCTCCCCCTTCTCCTCTGGAAGGTGATATTTGGGTGCATGGGGACCTCAGGGTTTTTGACCTCAGGGTTTAAGAGACTCATGGTGGCAGGAGAGGAGGACCTTGGATCTGCCTGGGGTGCCCTGGGTTCTTTCTGGTTTCTGTTGTGAAATGGCTGATCTGGTCTCTGAACTAGCAACCCCTGAGATGTAACTGGTCCCCTGTAGCTTTTTTGGGGTCCTTGTAAAGCACCTGCCCCTGAAATCTGTAGTCCCAGCCATTTCCCCCTTGTTGTGAAGTCACTGCATATTGTGAACTCTGTGACCTGATTCCAGGTCTCTGTTAGTCACTGAGCCTCTCAGAAGCTCTCCATCCTCTCACCGGCATATCCCCTGCAAGCCATGGGTGTGATGGGAGGAGGCAGGAGCAATGCCTTAGGCTCCTGTCTCTAATCTTGCTGAGCATCCACTCTTGAAGCTACTGAGTTACTGCCCCTCATGGTTTTCAAACAGGTTCTACCTAGACTTCAAGATTCCTGTGGAAGGCCACGCCTGGGAAGTGGGCCTCTAGGCCAAATGTCCTTAGGCGCCACCAGGTCTTAGCTTGATATATTTGCAGCGTCCCCCCACGCCTTTCAAGGCCTGCCCTTGGAATGGGGGAATCAAGGGCCCCAGCATTTACCCCCTTAGCTTTCCTTATCTTCCTTCTTCCTTCTTTTCACCAAGGCAGGAAAGGGTAGGTTTTGCACTTCTGCTGCCTTTCTGGAATGGATTTTCTCAATGTCATATCTTCTTCCTCAATGTCAAGTAACAGTCACTCCACCTCCACCTGGGACGGTTGCCAGGCACTCAGGGAGGAAGAGTAGGGCAAATGCAGGGGGGAAATTTTGCTTATTTTAATTTCCAAAGATATTGTTTCTATTACATTCTAAATTGTGATAAGCACTCTGAAGGAAACAGAGAGAATGATACAGGAGACCTGCTTTGGATAAGATAGTTCAGGGAAAGCTTTCTGAGGTGACATTTAAAGAGACCTGCAGGATGAAAGGGAACCAGCCACAAAAGCAGTAGGGGGAGAGGCGGGGGAGGTGGTTCGGGGAGCGCATTCCAGACAGAAGGAACAGCAAATACAAGATGAACGAGGAGCGCTAGGGAGTACTCTTAGCTGGTACTAGAGAGGTCAAGGAGGTGGGATTTAGACCCCAGGACCACATGGCAGGCAGCATGTGGCAGGGCATACTGAGTATTAATCCCCTTCTGTTGAGAAGGGCCGGTGCCATCATCCAGACCTCTTATCTAGGCCCTAAATTATATGCCAGTGCAGGGTAAGTGTTTGCTACCAGCTATAGTAGGAATACTGAAGGGAAGTGGGGAACTGAAAAAATCAAAGCAGAACACTAGCATGAGGGGTCACTTATGAAGCCCCCTTAGGCCCAAAACTAGTGCTGGAGGCTGTGGGAAATCCAAAGAAGCAGATGACTCAGCCCCCTATCACCCCCACCGTGAACTCACATTCTGTTATAAAACAGTTTGAAAAATAGCTACGTGTATAAATCCTGCTTTAAACAGTCTTGGTTATCTCTGCTGTGTTTCTTCTAAACATAAAGAAAAGGCTTTTGTTAAAAAAAATGATTTGTACTTGTAAAAATCCCATCCAGACAATACAGTAAGTAAAAAAGAAGAGGATTAGGGGCCGGCCCAGTGGCGTAGTGGTTAAGTTCGTGCGCTCTGCTTTAGCGGCCCGGGGTTCACAGGTTTGGATCCCAGGCACAGGCCTACACACCTCTCATCAAGCCATGCTGTGTCATAGTCCCACATATAAAATAGAGGAAGAAGGGCACAGATGTTAGTTCAGGGCCAATCTTCCTCAGCAAAAAGAGGAAGATTGGCAACAGATGTTAGCTCAGGGCTAATCTTCCTCACCAGAAAAAAAAAAAGAAGAAGAAGAGGATTAAAATCCAGCTACTCAGAGATAACTGCTGCAACGTCCTTCTAGACGTCTGTTCACACGCACACATACACGCCCCTGCTACATGAACGGGGTAATGTTCTACGTGCACTTCTGCATCCCTGCTGTGCTCACCTAGTGCTGCCTGATATGTACGTGTACTTCACTCCACCTATGCATTTGTTGGTTCCTCTGGAAAACATGGAACTGGAAGGTGATTTTTATTGGAGAGTGACTCTGGAAAGCTACAAAAGGGAGAAGATGGGGAGGAAGAGCTTTACCAGATGGTGGTGAAGAAAAATATACATTGACAATCCCACGAGTTGACATCCGTCTAGACAGCTCATGAAGATGTTATCATCACCCAGGGGGGTGCTGGCCCCTCTCTCTCCTATTCTGTACGTTCCCCCTCAAGCTGCCTTGGCTTCTCTTTAAAACCGCCTTTGGGATGTTTGGTGAGAAGGAACGGTAGACAAGGTAGAGGTTGAGCAAGAAGGTCAGATTCAAGACCCTCTTCTAGATAGGTTGGCATCCCACACAGGTCCACACTGAGGGAGGCTGGGGCTGGTGAGAAGGCAAGGCCGCAGGAATAACTCAGGTTTCAATGGATGGGTTATGTGGAATTTGCAAATGCATATTCCTATCGTAATATTCCTCTATATTTGGAAAATTTTTAAAATCTCTATGACACAAACTATAAACTTTTCTGATGCTTAGCTGGAAAGATGTACTCCTGCCCAGGCTGGGGTGGCGGGGAGATTACTGGGGTCTCCAGGAGCATGGGTGTGAAAGTTTAGTTTACTGAAGGAGATCATGGGCTTGCAAGAGTTGGGGAACTCCACTCCTATGCCGGTGTTCAGGGCTTGGACAGATGAGTTGGCAGATGTGTCCCAGAAACACAAGGAAAGTCACATTTATTTCTTTGCCCATTTCCTGTAAGAAATGTCCTTACCCTTCTCTAGCTATTTGTGCTGCCAATTTTATTATTAGTCAGAGTTAGAAAGAAAGTTTTCAATGTGGACTACGTCATAATCCTTTTTTCCAACTGTGTAGTGTAAATCCTTTGTGGATTATAAATCTGTATCATCTCTTGTTTTGAAATTATAAAGAGACTAGCACTCATCTGTTCTGGTTTGAACGTGAGACTGAACCATTCAGGAAATCCTTCCTTCATTCATTGTTGAATGAATTCAACAAATATTTATTGAGTACTTTCTATGAGTTAGTCACAGTGGGTACTCAGAGAGGAGGAAACAGACTTTAAATAAGTAAACGCAGATAAATATAAAAGTACATATTATGAAAGCCTCTCCGAAATATTCAGGTGATTTCTATTCAAAAAGTCTTTGACTTGGAGATATCACATTTGGGTCCCATTGAACATATAGAGACTGTTTTCATCTTATGATCTTTGAGGCTAATCTGCCTCTTGGCTCAGAGACCAAACCCTCTTCTCCTCTGGTTCAGATGGCTCATCTGCTCACCACCACACCTAAGACACTGAGGACCCATCAGCCCGTACATTGAAGAGTAATGCTGAAAGCCGTAAATGTTGGGGATGGGAGGATAGTAGAAGATGCTGTCATGCATGAGCAAGATTTTTTCCAACACAGAATGTGTTTATTCATATACATACCCCTTGAAGAGAAATGAGAAAGACTGGGCATGGGTTTCTTTTAGATAGCCGAGTAAGGCTCTTTCAGAGATGGAAATTGCCAAACTTCTCACTGATTTGGTGTTTTCACTTTCCAGGGTACCCAGAAAATATGCCTTCCCTACAGTCCCACCAAAACTCTCTCTGTGAAGTCCATCTTAAGGTGAGTGCTAATGAATAGAAACCCAACACCAGGAGCCTTTGTTAATGTTTTTTTTCCTGTGATCATTCTGATGTTAGCTTTCCACTTTCTTGAGCCTTGGCTTATGTATCAGACATTGTACTAAGCACTTGACATGCATTACCTCGTGTAATCTTCACAGCAACCCTATAAGGCAGGTACTGTTATTCTCCCTATTTTATAGATGAGGAAATGGAGGCTCAGGGAGAGAAGGACAAGATCACACAGCTAGTGTCTGGTGGAACTGAGGCCCGGGTCTAGGTCCTGCTGATCCTGAGCATCACCGTAACGCATCTCCTTACTGCATTGGTTGCCTGCTTCCTTTTTCTTGCATGCATGCGGATACTTTGGTTTTGTAAAGAAAATCAAGCATTATTTTTCCTTTCATTTTTCTGCTTTGAAATAGAAACTCATATGTCAGCAAATGCTTCTCAGAGAAGAATGTGCTTATTCTTCACAAACAGAAAGTTAAATGAATGGAACATCTAGCTGCTCCGCGCTCAGCTGCCTCTCATGCCCCCACTTTTCCACCTCTCTCTCATCTCTCTCCTCTCCCATGGTGGGTGGCAGCCTCCCCTAGGGAATGCCACCACTCAGGTTGGGCCTGTCGCTTTGTCACCATCTAAGATGTTACCTCATAGTAACAGTAGGTTCTGTTTATCAGGCACTGTGCTAAATGCTTTACAAGCATTCTCTTAATAAATCTTTAAGCCAGCTCCACAAAGTAGATCTGTAATTATCTCCACTCCACATATAAGGAATCGGAGCCTCAGAAGTGAAAGGATTTGACAAAGATCTCACAGCTGGTAAACTGCAGAGCTGGGAATTAACCCTAGGGTCATGTGACTCCAGGGCTTGGGCTGTTCACCACTACTGCCGTATTGTGTGACTGTGAAAGCTCACCCCAGTGCCCCATGATTTACTCTCTAGTCGTCTGTAACTAGGTGGTGGTAGGAGATGGTGTTTTCAGTGTTTCCAGCCACAACTCATACTTGCCAAAATGTCTCAGAGTGATAAACTTGACTTTATCTGTTGGGGATTGCATCTGGCTGATGAAAGGGCACTGAGATTAAGAAGTAAAACATTTCATATCTCATTTTCAAACTTGATTTGGTATCCAAATTGCAAACCTTCTCCTCTCTGCCCTAGGCCTTCTGAGTTTTCTCCTGAACAGTCTGAAGCCCGAGTTAAGAAATATCAATGAACATTTTTGTTGAGCACAGAAATATCTTGCTGCTTCTAAATCTTAACTTACTTTGAGTAATACTTTGAATTAAACTAGTTTAAAATTTCTGTGACTCTTTTCTTTTTCCTAGAAAGAAGTTACTCCAGCTTCTTTCTTCTTTAGACTTAAAGACTAGGGACTTCATTTAGCTATAATTTCACTTAGTTGTGTGAGTAGGGCCTTCGCTTTTCAGCCCACCACTCGTAGCCAGGGCAAGCTTCAGCAAGAAAATATTTTTAAAGATATGGAAGATTAAAACGTCTACAGTTGCTGCCAATAGAAGAAAAGAGTTTATCTTCATTTGTTACGAGTATGAACTTGAAAACTTAAAAGGAAATTAAAATATAAATATTATGGAGTCAGATAAGCCTGAGTTCAAATCTTGGCTCTCCTACTTAACAGCTTTGTTATCCTGGACTAATTCTTTCACTTCTGAGCCTCAATTTCATAATCTTTAAAATGGGGATAAAATAATACTTGCCTCATAGAGGCTAAATGAGATAATCCAGGTAAAGCATTTAACAATGCCTGGCGTATAGTAAGTACTCTATAATATTAGCTATTATTTTTACCTTTCACTTACAAGTATGAGAATCCTTGCTGAAAGGGGCTTTAGAGATCATCTAGTTCAATTTCCTTGTTTTACCTCTAGAGGAGCTTAGGCTCAAGGAAATTAACGTTGTTTGTCCAAAGTAAAACAGAAAAGGACAATCTCGGTAAAGACGGCCTTTTGCCCTAAGTGGCAGAGGAATTGCCAAAGGAAGAAAGACATGTCAGGTAATCTTAATTACATTTCATTTTATCATTAATTGCTATGTAAATGTCAATGAATCACTTTTTTAGTAAATTAAAGTAAGAATCATGAAGATTAGTCAAGGTTGCCTGAAACAGATGCTCTCGATTCCTCGCTTCCTCTCTTGTTCTCTGAGTGTCGTTAGGGGACAGTTACATAAGTAGAGTACAATGTGGTGTTTTTGGTTACTCTCATGTATTAATTCATTGATCATGCCTTCATTGGTTTGTATCTCCTGTGAGCCAGGCCTTCATGGAATCCAGCAAATTTTCTAGGAGATATTATTTAGTCTCTCTGAAGAATTTATACTTGCTCCACATTATTTAAGTTTCCACCACACTGTAGCTCATTCTGTCCATTCTATTTCAGTGCCATGAATCTGGACAAATTTGAGAAAGGCCCCAGGGAAATTTTTCATCCTGAGATACAGAAGGTAACAGAATTTTATGCTTCATAATTGTATAAATTTGATCACAGTGTTAAATTAGAACTGATAGATCATCAATGATTCTTAGCTGAGGATACCAACCAGAATCACCTGTGGAGCTTTGAAAACATCATCATGGAGACCCTCACACCTGAGGCTCTGATATGCTAGGTCTAAGGTAGAGGCAAGGAATCTGTATTTTTCAAAAGTTCTGTGGGCGATTCTGAGGCATAGCCACAACTGAGAACCACTGAACTGTATGGTCCTCAATCCATGAACCAAAAGGGTGTATGTTCAGAAGGATCTTATTGGCTTAAAAGCCAATCTTTTTACTGAGTGATGTAGAATTGTGTGGAATGTGAGGGTTTTTTTAAAAAAAATAATAAAATACGAAATGTGCTTCCTGAGCTCTAACTCATGTAGAACTCTGTGCTAGGTACGGTAGAGGATAGGAGGCGTCTAGCCTGTTTTCTTAGGACTTACTGTTAAGGGGAAACAGTCTGCCCTGGAAGAAAAAAAGTTTAGAGTCATAATCGAGGTAATGATCCATTAGAAAAATGTCAAGCAAAGTTTTGTCTTCCAATTTCAATCAATTTAGCTTTGAAATTCTCCCCTTGAAACTTATAAACACAGCATCACTAGTAGTGTGCCAGTTATGTGTCAAAGCTGAGCTTCAAGGAGTTGGGTATGCCAGGGCAGGGTGACAAGGGAAGAGGCTGGAGAGGCAGGTTGAGATTCTTTCCAGGAGGCGGCAGGGAGCCAGGAGAGTCCTTAAGCAGAGGAGCATTGTGCTTAAATCTGCTTTTTAGGAAAATGACTCAGACACATGAGGAGGATAGATGGGCACATGAGGAGGATAGATGGGCGCATGAGCAATCTTTGCTTGCATAACTTTGAAACACAGTTAGCTTTTAAAATAAAGTTATTGGCTCTCAGCTTACCCCAAATATATATACTTGTGAATTCCTATATCTTTTGTTTTAATTTAATCTTTAAAATAGTTTTGTACCCTAACTCAACCCCAGAAGGAACTGAGGCAAAAATGAGTGTAAGTTAAACTTTAAGCAACTTTAAGCCATGCTATGCTTAAAAGTAATTCTATTTATTTATTTATTTATTTAATTGAGGTAACATTGGTTTATAATAACTATATAAATTTCAAATATACATCATTATTTTTCGATTTCTGTGTAGGCTACATCATGTTCACCACCCAAAATCTAATTACCATCCATCACCGTACACATGTGCCCTATCACCTATTTTGCCCTCCTGCCTCCCCCCTTTCCCTCTGGTAACCACCAGTCTAATCTCTGTCTCTATGTGTTTGTTTGTTGTTCTTCTTGTTGTTGTTTTCATCTTTTACTTATGAATGAAATCACACGGTATGTGACTTTCTCTGACTTATTTCACTTAGCATAATACCCTCAAGATCCAGCTATGTTGTCACAAATGGCAAATTTTCATCTTTTTTTTATAGCTGAGTAGTATTCCATTGTGTATATATACCACATCTTCTTTATCCGTTCATTCATCCATTGATGGGCACTTAGGTTGTTTCCAAGTCTTGGCTATTGTGAACAATGCTGCAGTGACCATGGGGGTGCATAGATCTTTATGCATTCATGTTTTCGTGTTCTTTGGATAAATACGCAGCAGTGGAATAGCTGGTATGGTAGTTCTATTAATTTTTTGAGGAATATCCATATTGGCTTAAAATGGAAACCGGTGGCTGCAGCAGTTTACATTCCCACCAGCAGTGTATGAGAGTTCCCTTCTCTCCACATCGTCTCTAACACTTGTTGTTTCCTGTGTTGATAGTTATAGCCGTTCTGACAGGTGTGAGGTGATATCTCATTGTAGTTTTGATTTGCATTTCTCTAGTAATTAGTGATGCTGAACATCTTTTCATGTGCCTCTTGGCCATCTGTTTGTCTTTGGAAAAATGTCTGTTCAGATCTTTTGCCCATTTTTTAATTGGGTTATTTGTTTCTTTGTTGTGGAAATATATGAGTTCTTTATATATTTTGGATATTAACCCCTTATCAGATATATGGTTTGCAAATATCTTCTCCCAGTTGTTAGGTTGTCTTTTCATGTTGTTGATAGTTTCCTTTGCTGTGCAGAAGCTTTCTAGTTTATTTTTTCTTTTGTTTCCTTTGCCTAGTGAGACATGGTATTTCAAAAGATGCTGCTAAGACTGATGTCCAAGAGCATACTGCCTATATTTTCTTCTAGGAGTTTTATGGTTTCAGGTTTTACATGCAAGTCTTTAATCCATTTTGAGTTAATTTTTGTGTATGATGTAAGATAATGGTCTACTTTCATTCTTTTGCATGTGGCTGTCCAGTTTTCCCAGCACCATTTGTTGAAGAGACTTTCCTTTCTCCATTGTATGTTCTTGGCTCCCCTGTTGAAAATTAGCTGTCCAAAATTCCTTATAGCAAACTTTAAAACAAATTAGAATTATAAAGATGCCAGTACCGGTGTGCCCTTGTCACTTCATTTGGACAGGTTCTCATTCTTAATCCTGTCCTGCTTGGAACCTGGTTGTGACCCCCGACACGGGGCCCCAAAACCCACGGAGCCCACTCTGATGCTTCTTTCTGCATCTCCCTGCCGAGCAGACTCCCTCAGCAGACTTCATCTGCTCAGTCTTCCCTATCTGCTTTGTCTCTTCCACAAAATAAGAAAGGACGAGAAAATGAAATAGGGCAACCTTCTGCCTATTTATAACTATGTGCCTGTGTTTTACCAAACAAAAGACGCTTTTAGGCTTTCCCTATGTTTGTGTTTTGACTTTCTTTCCCTTAACAAGAAACTGTTCATGAGCTTTCCCTCCATCCTGTGTGAGTGTGCACGTGTGTGTAACTTAGCACTAGTTTCACTACTGTCATCAGGTTTCTGTAGGGTTCCCTTAGGAAGCCTTGAGCAACAGGCTTTAGGTGCAGGGGAGAGAGTGCTTACAAGTCACTGGAGCCAAAAAGTAAACTGAAAATAAGCCATTTGCATTGTAAAGAAGGCATCTTCCACCAAGTGGGAAAGTGGCTGATGCTATTTAAAAACGTTACCCATCTGTTTCTGGCTGCTAACTGTAATAACATTTTTCTTAGCCAAAATCTTTCCAGAAGCAATGTGTGATAACCTAGCTTTAAATGGATAGAGAAACCTAGGTGTCCATATGTTTCTTCCTGCTGTTATGCATCATCTTTGTTTACAGATAGTTGTGGTATAGCATAATTTTCCTAAATGACCAGTTAGTTTATAAAAACCTGCAGAGCTAAATTTGAATTTTTAAAGCACTTCTAGAGGGAAAAAAGTGGTGTAAAATTCAGTAAACTGAAGCTTGGCATTCACAGAAAGTCAAAATAAAATGATCACCATTAAGAATAGACATAACTTTTCAAACTTTATTTGACAGGACTTGCTCGTTCTTGAAGAACAAGAGGTAAGTAATTTTATGAGATATCTGTTCCTGCTCTGCCTCCATATTTATAAATGTGCTTCTCCCTTCACCATAAACACAACCTTTTCTTTCAGTCAGACCTCTACACGGATTTGCACAGTGTGAGTCTCTTATCACTGAAAGACTTTACTGACATGTTTTTTCAAGGTATATTTCAGAAGTTTCTATGCAGCTGCCTGTAAAGATATAAAAATAATCAAGCTACTTAAACATGCTTGGAAATATTCCAATTTTAATCTTGTGATCAGGGTGAGTAATGAGGTTTTAATTTTCATTAAATTAAAGATAGGCTGTTTGTGCTTTATAAGCACACTAGATTTACAGAATGCCCTGTTTCTTTGCATGTTTCCAGTGTTGCCCCACTTTAAAAATAGATATTGGGTTTTCTAAGTACATAACTAACATAGGCAAATATCCAAAATATTATCAATAGACAATTGAGTAAATAAATTATAGTTCGTGCATACTATTCATCTCAGTAAATGGCAATATCATTCCTCCAGTTGCTCAGGCCAAACATGGAAAAATGCTTAACGCCTCTCTTTCTCTCACACCGCCTGTCTAATCCATCAGTACATCCTGTTGCCACTTCCTCAAAACATATCCCTAATTCAAACATTTCTCACGGCTTCTACCACAACCGCTCTAATCCCTTGACACTGCCCGCGTCATCTGTGGGGACTATAGTGGACCGTGCAGTGTCTCCAACACTGCTCCCTGCTTCTACGCTGGCCCGCTGTTCTATTTTTCATATAGTGTCCAAATGGTCCTTAAAACCTGTCAAATCTGGTCATCCCTATGCTCAAGACTCTAATGGCTTCCCATCCCACTCATATTAGAGCCCCAAATCCTTCTGTGGCCTGCTTGGGCCTGCGTGATCTGGCCCGTGCTACCTCTGCAGTCCTCTATTCCATACTAACTACAGTGACTTCCTTATTCTTCCACCTCCCCAGGAATAGCCTGCTGTTCCCTGCCGCCGGGGGTGCTCTTCCGCAGACATCCCCATGGATCACACCCTTACCTGATTAGGATCTCTGCTCAGAGAGGCCTTCCCCAATCACCCTATCTAAAATAGCACATTCTGCCTCTCACCCTCTGCCCTTCTGCACTGCTTTGTTTTTCTTCTTAACACATGTATTTTCATTTATTTATTTTTTATCTGTTGCCCCCACTAGAATGTAACCATAAGAGCAGGGACTTATTTTTGTTCACCACTGTATCCCCAGATCCTAGAACAGTGCAGCTAGAGGACACAGACTCAATATTTGTTGGTTGAATAAGTTAATTATGTATTGATTGAATGAATTATGAAATACTGTGATGCCATTAAAAAGAATAAGGTGGAACTTTATTTACTGGCGTAGAAAGATTTCCATGACATAGTATTTACTGAAGAAAAAAAATCACAGCACAGTACTTACAGTATAATCCCAGTTGTTTTTGTAAACAAAGATTTATATGTATATTCATTCATTCATTCATTCATTTGATAAATATTTATTGAGCTCCTACCATGTGTGTACCATGTAGTATTTGAGGCCTTGGGGATACACTGATGAACAAGACAAGGTCTCTTCTTCATGGAGCATACAGTCTGGTGGGGTAAGACAAACTAAACAAGTAAACAAACAAACATAAACGTGCTAATATCAATTGCCCCAAGAGCTGTGAAGGAAGTAAAACAAGGTGGGTGATGTGGGGTAGGGAGTAGATTTTCCACATTAAATAAACAGGGAAGCTTTCTCTGAGGCAGTGACATCTCAGCTGATTCCTGAACATGGCGAGGTCAGTGCACAGAAGGGGCCTGAAAGAATGCACCCCAGATTGTTGGCAAGAGTTAGTCTGGGCAGGGTAGTGGAAGTGTAGGTGGGATGCTGCAGAGCATGGGTGGAGGGAGATGTCTACATTGTTATCAATATATTATCCATGTATGAATCACGCTTGTTGCTAAAGAATTCATGAACTCCATGTGTGATTTGTAAATGGCAAACAATAAAAGTAATACACATTTCTGGCAAACATTTGAAAAATACAGAAATGCACAAAAGATTAAAGGAAAATATCACCTACAATCACAGAGAAAACTAGTATCACATTTTGGTATATGTTTGTTATATTTTATGTAAAATTAGGATTTTACTATATATGGTTTTTATGTCTCAAAATTACTCATTAATTCACAGATATTTATTGAGCACCCACTGAGTGTGTGCAGATACCTATTGTGACAAATAAATACAGAAATTTATAAACAGGAAATGTGAAAGCTCCCCCTACTTCGCCTCTTCCACCCTCCCCTGAGGAACCCCTGTTAGCTGTTTGGTGTATATCCTCTCATACCTTTTTTTTGGATCTCCCAAATTTTGAAAAAAAAATAACTGATGTCTTTATTTCTCAATTTTATTGCCTTACTGAGGGGATGTTTGCTTGAAACAACAAGAGCATTTATTACAATATATTTGAGGGATGTGAGCAGTGGTCACCATCTTTCAGAGCTTCCCCGAGAGCTGTGTGGCCAAGGCAGTCCTATTGAATCCTGCCAGCTTCTCACTAGGAGCTTTTATCCCAGTTGCACCCAGTTATAGTGATAAACTATCAGCTGCAAAAAATGGGCAGGGAAAAAAATTAGTAAAAAACACTAGTGATGTTCCTGAAAGGTTAGCTGTTTGGTAAAGTGTCGGTGTCCTGAAACCCATGTTTTGTTTGTCCACTGCGTAAAGACGCACCCCCAGGAGAGAACATGGTGTCCCAAGCTCCATACACGTGGAGAGGATGAGAAATGTGTAGGAACATATGAAACATAGAAATATGGAGGCTTGCCTAAATAAGAGTAACAAGGAACCAGGGGTGTCCGGTTTTGTATCAGGCCATCATTTCTTGATTCCAAAAGATTCCTCTGGAATCACAGAGACTTTAGGTTCCCCTCATACTTCACTTTCCTCAGAAGAAATATAATTCCTAGCATACTATTAATTCCCAAGAATGTGACTGCATGTTGGTTTATAATCATGTTGACTTTTGTCTCATAAAACTTAGAACTTAAAAATTAAAAGTCCCATACAAGTAGGAATTACAATGTGACCTTATCTCTATGAGTGTTTGAACAGGACTTAAGTCCCAAGAAAACCAGTGTGCATGGATTCCCTTCACCAGTCACCTTCCTCCAGGGGACTGGATCTGGTCTTGGGACCTTGAGAGCTCCCTCTCATCCCCCAAGATCCAGTGCTGCAAGTAGCAGTCAGCCTCATGAAGCACTAATGATGTTAGGTTGAATGGTTTGTTAAACTATGGTCTGTGATGGTCAAATAGCCCCAAATCAAACTATCCTCTCCTAAAATAGCCCCTCCTAAAAACTGCCTCCTCCAAAAATGTAATCCATTATATTCAGTGATACCTTGATTTCTAGAAATAGATGAAAACTCTGTGTTAGTCATTGACACCATTTGGGAAGCCCTAGAAACAAAATTATCTAAATGAGACCCTGTAAGTAATTTCAGGTACTTAACAAGGCCTTGCAACAGCAGTCTCTCTGGAGTCTCCACTGAAGTGAGAGGGGTCCTCAGCACGGGTTCTAGTAGCATGGTGCCAATCACAGAGCAGCCCCATAAAAGCTTTTAAAAGGTCTGGCCAATGATCAGGCAGCAGTGGGCCCCATTTCTGCTTGTAGCTCTCAGCTTCACCCCAGAGAAGACTAGCCCGTGATTTGGGAAAGAGCACTGGATCAAAAGTCAGGAGGCCTGACTGCCAGCTCCAGTCCTTCCATTCACTTAGTACCAGCCTGGACAAGTCTCGCCTTCCCTGGGCTTCAGTTGTCCTGTCTAAAGTGAAAGTGTGGATTCAGTGGACCATAGGGCCCCTTCTGGTTCTAACAGGCTCTTAGTTCACGGCTCATCGCTCTAGTCATTGACCCAGTCCTTCTGCCCTTGGCTTGCTAGCTGTCCGCTCAGCTGGACCTGATCCCGGGCTCCTGACAGCCTGCTGGTTTGTTCCTCTAGTCCAGTGGTTCTCAACGTGGGGTCCCTGGACCACAGCATCAGCATCAACTGGGCACTTGTCAGAGATACACATGCTTGGGCCCTACCCCAGACCTACTGAATTGAAGAGTCTGGGAGTGGAGCCCAGCAATCTTTACTAAGGCTTCCAGGTGATTCTGATGCCTGGTTAAGTTTGAGAACCACTGCTTTAGTCTCTGCACTGTGATTCTAAGAGGGTCATCTGTCAGACCCCAAACTACTGTAGGTGCTCGTCAAGGGAACACTAAGAATGGAAGAGGTGCTGGAGTCTTGGAGACGTGTGATTGCTGTCATCATTTCCAAAACAGAGAAAGAAAAGTTACAAAGTATAGAACCCTAAGGTGGATAGAGATCCCTGACAAAATTCTAAGAAATTTACCAAAAACTGGTTTGTGAGGAAGAGTTGATCACTTGGAAGCAACTTGTGAAAACTAAGTTGTATCTGACCAGTTTTGTTGCTTTTCTCATTTATTATGCACACAATCATTTATGCTGTGAATATTTATTAATCCTGTCCAATATACCAAGCACTGTGCTCAGCACTGGAGATTCGATGGAAAGTCCGACATGGATGATCCCTCCTTCACGGGACTTGTGTTCTAGTGGTAGAAACAGACAGATATGCATATTCAATAAAAGAATTGCAAAGTGTGAATAGTGCTCTAAAGAAAATAAACAAGATGCTATGATGGAGAATAACAGTGGGGGGAGGGTGACTTTATATTGGGAGATCAGGGAATGCATCTCTAGAAATTGGTGTTTGAGCTGAGACCTGCGTGATGGGAAAGAGCCAGTTGTGGAAGGAGCTGTGGAGGAGTTCCAGGTGGAGGGACCAGCTTGGGAGTGTCCTCGCTCTGTTTAGAAAATCACTATTACTGATGGGTGTGCATCTGTCTCTCAGGTACGAGGACAGAAAAATGTTTAGAAGCACAGCCTTAGACCCTGGCATTTTCAGAGTCTTAATTCTCCCGAATCCAGCCGTCCTGAATCCTGGCATTCTGCCTTGATGTTCCACCTCTGACCCATTGACTAAGGCTTTAAACACCTTTGTTCCTTTTCTGTCCCTTAATTGACCAAGAATTCCCCCATCTGGTGGTGGGTCAAACAGCCTTGCAAAGGTTGATTCTCTACCAACCTCAGATTTTTTTTTATTATGAAATACTTCAGGCATACAAAAAAAAGTACAGAGAATAATATAATGAAGACCTATAAACCCACTACCCAGCTTCAAAAAAAAAGTATTAAAAATGCAGTTGAGGGCCAGCCCCGTGGCTTAGCGGTTAAGTGTGCACACTCCGCTGCTGGCGGCCCGGGTTTGGATCCCGGGCACTCACCGAGGCACCGCTTCTCCGGCCACGCTGAGGCCGCGTCCCACATACAGCAACTAGAAGGATGTGCAGCTATGACATACAACTATCTACTGGGGCTTTGGGGGAAAAAATAAATAAATAAAATTATTAAAAAAAAAAAAGTGCAGTTGAGCTCCCTGATCCTATTCCTCTCCCTCCTTTCCATGTAGACGCTATTACCTTGTATTTGGTAGTTATCATTCCCACAGGATCTGATTTTAATCCAGTGTTTAAAGTTGAGGATGGTAGATTGAACGTTTGTACTAGCTACTTCTTAATTGGGTTTTTTTCCCCACATCTATTTTGTGACTTCTCGAGATTAGATATCTTTAGGAACTGGGGAAAATGAGCTTTTAGAATAAGTTGCCTACAGTTTCTATTTCTATTTTTAAAAGAGTCCACAGGTATCAGCCTAAGATTGTTATCTTAAGCTTTGAATTACACTAAGCTCTCCTTTGTGAACTGGGGTCTGGACTGCTGCTGAAGGGTTGATCAGAAGATGATGCCAGTCCTGTGAGTTCCTGTGGGCTATTTATTTTGAGCACTGTTTTGCCGCAGAATGGCCCTGGCATCCTGCAGACACCATTAGTAATGAAATTACAAATGAGTTAACTCACGTAAAAGTATAGTCTCATCTGTAAGCTATAAAAATTTATAAAAATAAAAGAATGAGTGTTATTAATATCGGTCAAAATTGAGATGGAGGGGAGGAAGTAATCCCCCAAGTATCCATTCTGGTCACGGCACTTTTCCTAAGTAAAGAACAGCACACGTCATAGCTATGTATGCTTTGATGATAAAGTGAAATTCAACACCTTTTGTTGTCTTATTGTAAGGGCTCTGTGAATTTCAAGTTTGGGGTTCTTTTTGCCAAAGACGGCCAGCTCACTGATGATGAGATGTTCAGCAATGGTGAGTGTCTCTCCTCCTTTTTGCTAACAGAAACCCTCTTCTGCCTTGTTGCAGTTTTGACAATCCAAATGAAACTTGCCTGTTGAGTTGGAGACTTTAATACAAAGAAACAGCCAGTAGTTTTACAAAATTTGGGGGTAATTTTGTAGGGCAGTTGTTGCCCAGTTTCATTCGTTTATTCATATGACAAATGTTTATTGGTCACCTAGTTTGTACCAGGCGCTGGCACCAGAGATACAATCTGACTGGATAACTACATGGGATTTGGAGAATTTGGTTCTACATAGTCTCAGTAGCAGTGGAAGATTTTTCTCTGTGATTTTTATGGTTGGGAGAGCTATAAAATGGTGCCATTTTCCTGTTATTTAGCACTTTTCTTGTGAAATACCTGATTATTATTAATGGAAGCGGTAATCATGTTTTCATTTTGTAATACTGAACACCTGTGACCGCAATCTGGTAGTGGTGAGGTTGGCTAGCCTGATTCTGTAGTTTTCCTTTCCTTGGATTCCTGGGAATTGTGGACCCTCATGCACGGTCTCCAAGAAGCAGCAAATGTGATTTCTCCATTCTGTTTACCTACTGCATACGTCTGCAGAGCCTACTTAATTTTCAAGTGATTTCAGTGCATAGTTAGAAAATGAGGATTTGTTGATACCTGTACTTTCTTCACACTCTATCTCTTCCTACAGAAATCGGAAGTGACGCTTTTCAAAAATTTTTAAATCTCCTGGGTGACACAGTCACTCTAAAGGGCTGGACAGGCTACCGCGGCGGTCTAGACACCAAAAGTAAGCTTGTGTCTTGATCTATTCTGTTGTGATTTGTGTAATTTTTGGTCATCAGCCTGATCTGTATTTGAATTTGTAACCAAGATGGGGGAAGGGGTGGACTAGAGAGGATAAGAGGGAAGTTGAATTTCATACCCCGTCTGACACGGGTCCCTGGACATATTTGGTGGCTCCATTGGGCTTTGAAAGGCCAAATCTGCCTTCACAGCCCCTAGGTGGTGGCAGGGGTCATGGTCTGCCTGACAATACTTGCTATTGAGCACTTCTGTATGCCAGCCCTGTACTAGGCTCCAGGGATAAGCAGTGGATAAACCAACATGGTCCCTACCTCTCTAGGAGTTTATAATCCAGTGGACAACACAGACATTAAACAGATAATTATCAAATAGTTTAGTACTGGGCCGGCCCCGTGGCTTAGCGGTTAAGTGTGCACGCTCCACTACTGGTGGCCCAGGTTCGGATCCTGGGTGTGCACCAAAACACCGTTTCTCCGGCCATGCTGAGGCCGCGTCCCACATACAGCAACTAGAAGGATGTGCAACTATGACATACAACTATCTACTGGGGCTTTGGGGAGAAAAAGGGAAAAAAAAGAAAGGAGGAGGATTGGCAATAGATGTTAGCACAGGGCCGGTCCTCCTCAGCGAAAAAAAAAAGAGGAGGATTGACATGGATGTTAGCTCAGGGCTGATCTTCTTCACAAAAAAAAAAAAAATAGTTTAGTACTAAGTACTTAGAGGAACTAAGAAGAAAAAGTACAGAGTGCCATGGGGCATTTTGCCTAATCTAGGGGATTAAAGAAGACTTCCTGAGGGAGTGATGAGGAGGAGGAATTTGAGTGTCTTGAGGAGAGAAGAGAATTCCAAGCAGAGAACATTTGTGAAATCCCCGAGCCAGGAAAGAGCATGGTGTGCTCTAGAAACTAAGAGAATACCTTTATGGCTGGAGGGAGCGGAGGGAACAGAATGATGCAGTAAAGACTGAAGAAATGGGGAGGGGGGATCCCGCAGGGCATTTGAGATCACATTGATAATTTTGGATTTTATTCGAAATGGAATTGGATGTCATTAAAGGGTTGCAAGTAGGGACGCGATGGGATCAGATTGCACCTTTGAGCAGAAGTGCTGGCTGCAGTGTGGAGAATGGTCCAGAGGGAGTTAAGAGGGACCAGTTCAGAGGCTGTTGCAACAGTGCAGACAGGAGCTGATGATTGCCTCTGCTGGAGAGAGGGTGGGAGGTTGGAAGGGAGAGAAGCCGACTGAGGCAATAGCCGTTTTAAAGGAGGACTTGGCAGGATCTACCCGAGGCTGATTGAACATGGGGGATGAAGAGGAGCAAGAAGCCACAGAGGACACCTGGGTTTCTGGCCTAAGCAGCTGGGTGGGTGGTGGCTCCAGCAGTGAGACTGGGAACATTTGAGGGGAAGTGGTTTAGGGGTGGGGGTCTGAGGGGGCAAAGGTAGACAAGATCACAAGTTTAGATTTGGGGTCACGTGCTATCTTATAATTATATAGCATTTCTAGTTTTTTCCTGTGCTTTTACTTCTGTCATTTTATTTGCTCTTCATAGTCAGTCCCTGAGGTAAGCCAGGCAGGGGATGCGAGGCTCACTTGGCCTAAATTTGATAGGCTTCAAATCCAGGTACCCTTACCCTCTGGGAGCCTCATCTCTCCACCAGCCCATGTTGGCATCGTTTCACAGGTTCTGAATGTGGAAAGGTTAGGTGATTTGTGAGAATTGCACTGTGAGGTACTTAACTGGCAGATGCAGGGATGAAATAGTTGGTCCCGGTTGTCAGGCCCCAGATTCCCCCCAATAAGCTATGTTAGCACTCGGTGAATCCTGGAATGCTGGCAAGTTCATCCTCCCCCTTGCCAACTCTCTGTCTCTCTGTAGGGTCGTAACTACCCTCCTTGGAGCCTTTGCCATGGCCAGGCACTCTGCTGATTTACAAGTATAATCTTGTTGAAGTTTCCCAACATCTCTAATAGGAGTTCGATACTATTTTTATCCCCATTTTCAAATTAAGAAAGAGGCTTGGAGAAAGGTGAGGTGACTTGTCAAAAGGAACATAGCTAGTGAGAACTTGAATCCAAGTCTACCTAACTCCAAAGCCCATGCTTTTAATCACTAGACAGTTCTGCCAGTGACAGACTTTCTTTTGTTTTATGGACATAATAATCATTTGTATCTCATCTTGCGTTAATTTTGTCCTGTACACCAACAGTAACTGGAAGGCAAGGAGTTGTAACACACTCTCCTTTTTAGCCAAGACTTCTCATGACCTTCTCTACTCCGAGGCAAGGTATGAATCAGACAGCAAGTAAGCTTAGAGGGGGAGGAAGAGGTTTCTCCATGTGGGCAGGAGCCTTGCATCAGTTGGAGAGTGATCCATACTGTTGCTTCCTCTCAGGTGGATAATCCACAATGATCTTCGGGAATGTATTAACTGTGTACTATATTCCCCTAATCTGCAAATAAAGACTATTTCCTTATGGTCTCAGAATTCTCTGTGCCCACTAAATGCATCTTTGTATTTTACAGATGATACCACAGGGATCCATTCAGTTTATACTGTGTACCAAGGGCATGAGATCATGTTCCACGTCTCCACCATGTTGCCATATTCCAAAGAGAACAAACAGCAGGTACGTGTGAACACAGGCTCTTTGAGAACACACAAACCATCAAATAGTGATCTGAATGTGGAGAAAGCAGCATTATGATTTCATAGAATTAGAGACTATATATGTTGATATATGAGTTGAACTTCAGGCACCAATGTAGGGATGTTGTTCATAGTCTGTGTATTTTAACTTTCAACAAGCCTTAGAAAGAACTGTCCGCACTGAAGCTCTCCCCTAAAAGAAATAAAGGGGCAGAAGTAATAGTGCACCTGTGTGTTTGTGTGTGAATGTGTGTGTGTATTTGCATGTGTGTGAGTGTGGTTTTAAAGACTCCTGAGAGGCTATATTGTATCTACATTGCCTTTTCTCTGACTTCTCTCGATGTGACTTGTGTCTTGTCAGAATGAGACTATCTGGTTCACAGAATAAATGGATCCTGAGTAATGGTTGGCAGGTGTTTTTCAGGTTAATGCAGGAGATTAACACTGAATGTCTGCATGGGCTGTGCCATGTTGGGGAAAAAATTGCCTGAGACACTCCTCACCCAGCCCAGAGATGGGCCATTTTCAGGAGAAAAGTTTCCAATTTGTTGGAATTTAGATATAACAAAGACACATGCTGCTGGGATTTGAAGGATTTGGGGTTCCATTTAACTTTTTATTAAATTCTTACTGCTTTTTCCCACATTGAAGACATCTATATGAATAAATATAACAAACATAAATGGATAGTTGTTCAGCAAAGGTTTGTGAGAAATACAAACCTAGAGAGGGTATGTGATGGGGCTAAAAATGCTTTTTTCTGAGCACTTACAAATTCTTATTTCAATAAGACTTCAGTAAGGGGGAAATACACAAAGCAGATCATTGGGCTAAAATGTGGTGCTATAGTCTTGGGATATAAAGGTGCTTTGGGGACATGCGGGCAGGGGCAGGAAGACCTGGTTCTGTTTGATGATTTGGGGCCTGGAATAAGGGGCTGGCAGATTGTCTTGCACACAGTGGAGACCCACTGGAGGTTTTAAGCTAGTTCTGACTTTAGAAGGCTAACTTGGGGAAAGGACAGGGTGAAGCAGGAAGTGTCTGGGCCCAGGAAAACTGCTTCAAGTGGCTGAGAGTTACTTTCTGCAAGGCATCTTCCTTTGCGTGGTTGGGGATACCTATATTATTGCTACCAGGCTCCACCTCTTAGGAGCTCTAGGATCTTGGGGTCACACAGAAAAGAGAGACCAAGCTGGCCTTCCCAGTCATCATGAGTTGTATTGACCTCTTACATCTCAACAATATCAAAAAACTTCCAGTGAAATATTTTATAATCCTCCTCCTCCCCCAAATCCATCCTTTTCATCGTTGTACGTTCACCAAAATCACCCATGTCCTATAACAGATAGGGCTCTGCCCAACTCAGAAGTCTTTAACCTTTTCTTTTTGAGAGGCTGTTAGCATATTAAGACGTTAACAGCCTCCCCAGGAGCACAGAAATGTTCCCAGATGGACCCTGGTGTTCTCAACATCTTGGTTGGCTCCATGTTTCAGTCCTCCACTTGACCAGCATCATTAGATATGAGGAAAATCAAAACGATAAACTTGTCTCTATTACCAGGAAGATACTGCAGGTGGGAAGAGAGACAAAGAAATGCAGAATGATAGCCACCCTTAACAGCGCCTGGTCATGGGAGAGCAGAGAAGGACTGCTAACTGTGAACCTCTCTCTGTACCTGTTGTGGTCTCTTGGGGCCTAAGGTAACAGTCAAAAAGTCAGAGGCCAGCCTGGCTCATAAAATCTTGGTGGCTTTTTGACCCCCTAACATCTAGAACACTAGTGAGAACAGTCTGAGCCACATCTCAAATCTGACTTAAAGAAACAAATTTTCACTAAGATATTGTAGGTTCTGATATTACAATAACTTCTTCCATCTCTTTCCTCCTCCATCACTGTACCAACCATAACAGGGGCAATGGAGAGGGTGTTGATGTTTGCCTCTCTGGGGCCTCATCTTCCTAACATCCCGTGATGTCCAGCACCGCTGACATCGTCTAGTCTCCCAGCAGTCCAGACCCCACAGCAGCATCTAGTACCAGATGAAAGCACGGGCTCTGTGATGAGCCAGATCTGGGCCAAATCCCAGCTCTGCCACAGAACTAGCTCTGTGATCTTGGGCACATTGTGTGCATTGCCATGCCCCGGGGCTCAGTTCTCGGTCCTCTTCTCTTTCTACACTCATTCACTCCCTTGATGATCTCATCCAGTCTTGTGGCTTTAAATAGCTTTTATAAGCCAGAGACACCCAAATTTATATCTCCAGCCAGACCTCTCTCCAGAATTCCAGACTCAGGTGTGCAGCCTTCTTCTCCACACCTCCGCTGGGCTAGACATCTCAAACCTAATGTGTCCCAAACTGAACTCGGACTCTCCTCCAAGCCTGTTCCTCCTGCAGTCTTTCTCATCCCAGGTGACGGCTACTCTGTTCTTCCAGTTCCTGGGGCAAAATGACCTGGGAGTCGTTCTCGATGCCTCTATTTTTGTCTTATCCCATTTTCAGTTTGTCAGGAAATCCTGTTGTCTCTACCTCCAAAATATGTCTAAAATCTGACCACTTCTCACGCTTCTCCTGTTACTTCCCTGCTGCGAGCCACCGTCGTCTCTTGTTGGATTACTGCAGTAGCTTCCTCTCTGGCCTCCCTGCTTTGACCCTGTCCCCTGACACTGTTTCTCAATCCATCAGCCAGAGTGACCCTTTAAAATGCAAGTCAGATCACGTCACTTCTCTTCTCAAACCCTCCAGGCTCCTGCTTCACTCAGAGTCAAAGCCAGAATCCTTAGAATGGCCTTCAAGGCCCGGCGTGACCTCTGTTCCTTTTGTCTCATCGCCCACTCCTCTCCTTATTACTCCCTTCCACTCACATTGGCTTCCTTTCCTCTTCCTCAGAGTCACCAGGTACTGTCCAATTTCACAGCCTTTGTGTTGCCCTTCCTTCTGCCTAGAACTGTCTTCCACCAGATATCCACTGGCTGACTCGCTCACCTCCTTCAGATCTACTCAATTGTAAACTGTGAAACTGACCCTGATGACTCTATTTAAAGCAGCAACCCACCCACCACCAGTGCCCCCAAGCCCCCTTACGCTGTTCTCTTTTTTCCGTGGCACTTACTACCTGGTAACATTTAGTTATACTTGTGTATTATGCTTACTGTGTAGTTTGTGTGCCCCCTGCTAGAGTGCACACCCCAAGAGGGCAGGGATTTTTGTCTGCTTTGTTCCTGGCGTATAGTAGGAGCTCAACAATTACTTTTTAAAAATATATAAAAGCTTTATTGAGATACATTTCACATTCCATACAATTCACCCACTTAAGTATATTCACAAGGTTATTCAACTATCACCACAATCAAGTTTAGAACATTTTATTCCCCCAAGGAGAAACTCCTCTCCCCTCAGCCATCACTTCGCATTCCACCCCTGCCCAGCCCCTGGTAACTACTAATCTACTTTCTGTCTCTATGGAGTTGCCTATTCTGGACAATTCATATAAATGAAATTATACAATATGTGGTCTTTTGTAACCAGCTTCTTAGCATATTTTCAAGGTTCATCCATGTTGTAGCCTGTATCAGTATTTCATTCCTTTTTAGTGCTGAATAATTTTCCATTGTGTAGATATATACCACATTTTGTTTATTCATTCATCAGTTGATGGATCAATAATTACTTATTTTTATTGTGGTAAAAAATACACAACATAAAATTTACCATTTTAAGCACTTTTAAGTATACAGTTCAGTGACATTAAGTACATTCACACTGTTGCGCACCCATCACCATCATCCATCTCTAGAACTTTTTATCTTCTCAAACTGAAAGTCTATACCCATTAAACAATAATTCCACATTTCTGCCTCCCCCTAGCCCTTGGCAACCACCATCCTACTTTCTATTCCTATGAATTTGACTGCTCTAGGTACCTCATGTAAGTGTAATCATACAATATTTTTCTTTGGTGTCTAGCTTATTTCACTTAGCATAATGTCTCAAGGTTCATTAATGTTGTAGCATGTCAGAATTTTCTTCCTCTTTAAGGCTAAATAGTATTCCATTGCATATTTATACCACATTTTCTTTATCCATTCATCTATTGATGGACAGTTGCGTTGTTTCCACCTTTTGAGTATTATGAATAATGCTGCTATGAACATTGGTATACAAATATCTGTTTGAGTCCCTATTTTCAATTCTTTTGGATGTATACCCACACATGGAATTGTTGGATCATATGGTAATTCTATGTTAATTTTTTGGGGAACCACCAAACCGTTTTTCACAACAGCTGCACCTGTTTACTTCCTTACCAGCACTGCACAAGGGTTCCAATTTCTCCACATCCTCAACAACACTTATTTTCTGTTTGTTTCTTTATGATAGCTATCCTAATGGGTGTGAGGTGGTATCTCATTGCGGTTTTGATTTGCATTTCCCTAATGATTAGTGGTATTGAGTGTGTTTGCAGCTTATCAGCCATTTGTATATCTTCTTTGGAGAAATATCTGTTCAAATCGGGTGCCCATTTTTGGAGTTATTTGTTTTTATTTGTTTATTTGTTTTTTTGTTGCTGAGTTGTAGGAGTTCTTTTTGTGTTCTGGGTATGACCCCTTATCAGATATATGATTTTCAAATATTTTCTCCCATTCCGTGGTTACCTTTTCAGTCTGTTGATAGCATCCTTTGACGAACAAAAGTTAAAAAAATTTTTTTTTCCTCCTGTCAATGCAAAATAACCAATGACCATTCTATAGATAAGAGAAATAGGGTGAGTTTACTTGAGCCAGAGTGAGGATTATAACCCGGAAAGGCTTTAGAAAGCATTCCAGAGAAGCATGGTTTACAGTACAGTCTTATATCTTTTTAGAATAAAGAACGTATGTTAAACACACTCAGGATACATTTTCATCAAAATTTCAAAGAGGTATTCAATTGCAAATTAGCAGGTCAACATGACCATGATGTCAGGAAAAGGACTAATCCGGGCGTTACCAATAGGGCGTTACCAATAGGGCGTTACCAATAGGACACAGGAGGGGAAGTATGCATTCTTTTCTTAAGAGAGTGCATTCTTTACTGTAATGGGTAAGCAGATGTACCATGTATGTTTTATAGGCCGTAAGTCAGGCTTTTTAGTTCAAGCCGAATCAGTTTTGAACCCGAATAGTTACCCCATATACCTCAATATGTGAAAATCTCTTGTCACTCCCCAAAGCCCCAGTACGGAGTTGTATATTGTAGTCGTAAGTCCTTCCAGTTCTGTGTGAGCTGCTGCCACCGCATGGCTAATGACAGACGGGTAGTGTGGTTCCACGCCCAAGAACTGAGCCTAGGCCACCGAAGCAGAGAGCGCCAAACTTTAACCACTAGGCCATCAGAATTGGCTCACAAAAGTTTTAAGTTTTGATGTAGTCCAGTTTATCTATTTTTTCTTTTGTTGGCTATGCTTTTAGTGTCATATTCAAGAAATCATTGCCAAAAATAATTAGTTTTTTAATTGACTTGAAATGCAATTATTAGAACCTCTCTAAACCTTAGTTTCCTCATTTGCAAAATGGAAAAAATATCTCACATGAATCAGACAGGGATCCTGTTCTCCAGGAGCTTACAGTGTAGAATAGGGGACACGCAAGGGATCCATGGAGAACAATGAATCATTCTGTTTGGCTGATGAGGCAAAGGTCTAGGACAGGGGTTGGCAAACTATGGCCCATGAGCCAGATCCAATGTACTACCTATTTTGTTAAATAAAGTGTTACTGGAACACAGCCATGCCCACTCATGTATATATTATCTATAGCTGCGCTTGCGCCACAATGGCAGAGCTGCGTAGTTGCGAAGAGACAATATGGTCCACAAAGTTGAAAATATGTACTGTCTGGCCCTTTACAGAAAAAAATTTGCTGCCCACAGGTCTAGGTGATCCTTTGGAAAGGCCAACTGGGGTCAGATTAGGTAGGGCCATTGTTCTCACCAAACATATGGTTCGGCATTTATAAAAATATGCATGTTTGAGTCCCATCCCCAGGGAATGCCGATGCAATACCTCTTGTTTGGGGACCTTTAATGCCAGGCTAAGGAGATGATGAGAGAACGTAAACAGGATCAGAGCAGTAAAATGAGAGGGAATGAGGCAAGGAGGCCAGTTACGAGGGTTCTTAGAAGGGGGGACAAGAGGGATTGCAGGCCTGAATTGGGCAGGAGCGGAAGAGACGGCTACAAGAGCCAGGAGACTGGGGGCTAGTAAAACACGGGAGGCAAAAAGCCAAAGATGGCTGAAGTTCACGGCTCTATGGTCGTGATTGTGGATTGTCGTATTGTGTTATGTTTTTTAACTCTGCGAACGTGCCATGTTTGAGTGACCTTCTCAGTGATGTTATTTATGCTTACATCCAGGTGGAGAGGAAGCGCCACATTGGAAACGATATTGTCACCATTGTGTTCCAGGAAGGAGAGGAACCGTCTCCTGCCTTTAAGCCTTCCATGATCCGCTCCCATTTTACACGTATCCTGGACCTTTGGGAATGCTCCAGTTTAGCGAGCTATTGTTCAGCCTCACTGGACTTAAAGTGACCCTCAAACCCAATGCTATAATTGACTCGCTTTGTATTGTTAGTTTCTTAGACCCACCATTTTGGATTTTTTCCTCAGCGTTGTATTTTTCCCTCTTCTCTTTCCATCCATTGGAGTGATGGATGGATTAATTCTCAGAGAATTCTTAGCTTCTGAAATATCTTTGCCTTCCTCAGATAGTCTACGAAATGAGGGAAACTTCCTACCATCCATCAATAATAAATGAATTAGAAGAATTATAGGTGGTGTATCCTCTGACAAATTTGCTTTAGGTATAAAAACTTACAGGTTAAGATAAAAAGCCAAAATGATTTTTCTTTGTTGATTCTAAGCCCTAGTAATAGCTGCTATATTACCATCTCTTGAAATTTGAAAAATGATAGAATTAATCATATTTTTATTTGCTTCCCTTCTCCTTCCTCTAATCCCTGTTTAGCTCATACGCTTGATAAAGTCCTGCTGAAGTTCTCTGTAATGTCCAGGCTCAGCTCAGTCAGGCAGGTGTGGACCTGAGCATGGCTCAGCCCAACAGATACCAAGTCGTGGCGCTGTTACTCTGGGTCACAGGCCATGACAGTGAGACCCAAAGGTGGTGGCTCTATAAGTTGTACGTAATAAGTAAAGGCAACTAAATAGCCGTTTTCAGAATAAATTCTGGTCTAGTTATTCATGTTGCCCGGAGACTCTAGTAAAAATGTTGGGAGACAGACCATTATGACTCTTTGTATCTGAAAATAGGTTGTTCTGTATACTTTGACTTGTTCGTTGTAACCTAACAATATAGAGTATAAATTTTAAAAGTTGAAAGTTGCCAGATTTCTTCTATGAGGGCAGGGAAGAAAACGGATATGCACCTACACTTGAACAGTAATTTTTTTGTTCTCCTCCCTGCTTGCTAAGTGATATCTTGCTGTGTTCGCTGGGATATAGGGCTAATAATTCCCCCTTCCTGCAGTGGTTCTTCTTGTAGAACAGAAAGCTTCTCCAGGTACAATGTAGCAGGGGAGGAGGTGACTCTAACTGACTGAGAAGTAGTCATTATTTTTAGAATTTCCTTTAGTGATATGTTTTAGATTTGGGGCTTAGCACATTTATTTCTGGAAAGGGACAAACATAGCTAATGCAGATTCCTTCCACTGAGTCTAGGAATGGAAAACACTTTGAAGGATTGATGGCTTTTTAGCCCTAGCTAAGGAAAGCTGGGGGTGGGAGATGGTAGGGAAGGAGGAAGAGTGGGAGAAGGAAAGAAAAGCAGGATGGAAGTATGGTACTATTTTAGCTCGGCAAAGTAGATTCTACTGAGTGGTTGCCACCAGCTACATTGGTTTGTTTTGTCTACCAAAGCCGGAAGGAGAGAGAGGGAAGGTATACAGTGGAAGCATTTAAATTGCTTTTCTTTTCAAAATGTGTGAGATAAATATATGACTAATTTCATACTGGGATCTTGCTTATATTTCCAGGCAAGAAAAGAATTGCTCTCTTTGCTTTGTTTCCTGCTTAGATGCTTAATAGCTTTATTTATATTGCTTTTCTGAGAGATTTGGAGATTTAGCCCTTCCCCAAAGGATGAGTACACAGAGAATGAACCTGTGTCTTCCTGGGCTGTCTCTTTTAAAGAAGTCAAGGTTCTATCTCAACCTAAGAGTGATAGGGGCCCTGACCACAAAAGCACAGGTCTAGGATGATGTTGCACAAGGGATTTTCAAAGCGCGAGCCATTGACTGAGCATCCGAGTTGTTGATTAATTTCCTTAACCATCACCACAGATATTTTTGCCTTAGTTAGGTATGATCAACAAAATGACAATTACAGGTGGGTACTGACTGTATCTCAATCGCTTGTTGTAATTCTCATGTTGACTTGTTAATTTGCATAGATTTTATGAGACTCTTGTTATCCATATTTCCTGATTGATTTCATATGAATGTCTCACCTTATAGACCTTTGTTCAAGACCACCATCTCTTTGGGAAAGACTTGTTTTAGTCTTTCTAACTAAAAAATATACCTAGTGTTGCTCTGTGCAGTAGACCCAAGTGTCAGGGTTGGGTTGGAATTTTTTTGTACTTTACAATGGAAACAAATTTGATATGTTTCATCTTGACCAGAGAACCCCCTTTCCTAGGCTACATCACTGCCCATTTATCCTTCTAGTCTCAAAAATTAATCTGTTAAAAGGTATCGTATGTGAAAAGAGCATGAACTTGGAGCCAGATAGATTTGAACTGGAATCCCAGCTCTGTCACTTATTAACTTTGAGGCTTTGAAAAAAGTGTTTCTCTTCTTGGAGCCTCAGGCCTTGTCTGTAGAATGAAGGTGTTGATACCACGGTGGCAGGTTTGGTGAGAATCAGTTGATGCTGTTTCCTAAAACACTAAATATGCTGCTGGTATGCAGTGGGTGCTCAGTGGTGGCCCTTGCTGTTATTCCTGGGGTGCCTGACCTTGCCCATGGCCTGGTAGGTTGGACCACAAAGGATTCAGGAAGGCTTGGCCTCTGCCCTGCAGGACACAGAGAGAGCTGCATGGTGGCCAAGGCTCTGCAGCCCAGAGAAGGCACTCCTGTGGAATGAATATTCCTAACATATCACATAAGCAACTGGACAAATTTAAGGTCCAAATATTGGTCATCTTTGAAGAAAAACCAAGTAATTCTGAAATGTTCTCTACATAGGCTGAAAATATTTTCAGAAGAAAGCGTACCACTCTTCGGCCCACCCTTACCATCCCCCCCGGTGTTTACAGACCACCAGGAATTCAGGGACTTTTTGCTAGTGAAATGTAAGTTTCTATTTTGAAATGTTTTTGCAACTTGTTCTACCTCTGAATACAATTCTTCACATTCTCCCGAGATGCTGTATAAGAAAATACCATTGTTGAAGCATTCCATGCTCTGTTAATTCTTCACCTGAAATGTATTTAGTTTTCTGGCAGTGGCGTGTAGGTTTTCTTCTGTGTCCTCATCTGTACCTGCCGTCCTACCCAACTGCCTTGAAGTTTATCCACACTCACCCACTCAATACCAGAGGGGCTCAAGTTTACCTTTCTGCCCAGGGTTCTGATATAGCCGTTTCTGAATCTTTGCTTATGTGTGTATCTGTGTCTTTGTCAGAGAGTGAGATGTAGGTGGGGCAAAGAGTGGTTATGGATACATACTTAGGGATGGGGAGAGATGTTAGGGAGTGTGTGTGTGTGTGTGTGTGTGTGTGAGAGAGAGAGAGAGAGAGAGAGACAGAGACAATATGAATATGATGTGTGTAGAACCGAACCACCCCAGGTTTCACTAGCTGGTGAATATACATTTTAGCTCCACTGATAATACCTGAATACCTGACTCTGAGCCCCCATCTTCTGAACCACAAGAGTTCTGCCACACCCCTCCCCAGAGTATCCCTCGGTGATTTTAGCTGGAAGTGCAGCTTGCAAGCCTCTGGGGCCCTGCGCACTGCCGCTCATGCTGTGCCCTCTGTGACGGTGCTGCTTTCTCTCCTTCTTCCGGGCACGCTGGACACTGCAGCTGCTGTGCTGGCTGCCTCCCCGTCCCCCTCGCCACATACACAGACTCACAAACACACACACACACACACACACACTGTTTCTGTGCAGTTTTGGAGCATTTAGAAATGTGCCTCTCCTCCTTGAGTCCATCTTGGTCACCTGACCCCAAGGTAGCACTGATTGAGCCTCACAAAGTCCTTCATGAACAAATGCCCCCTCAGCTTCCAGTCTTAATCTTACTTTCATGATGGTCAAAACCAATCCCTCAGGCCAGGGCGAGGGGCAGACACCTGTTATCCCTCCTTTGTCTTCTTGTTTCTCCCCTCTCCCCTTCACAGCCCTGATCATGCATCCTCCCTCAGCAGCCGCACAGAAGTTCCCCTGTGCATCTACCCATGCAGTTGACACTTGAAGAGATGAGTGTCACTTAATTCCAGTCACCAAAGTATCCCAGTCCCAGCCACACCACTCGGTAACCTCTCTTCTCTCTGTAAAATCCCTCCAGTCCCTTGTAAAGATCTCCACAGGCTTCCAAAACTGTCTTCTGGAGAATGGAGAAATGCAAAGCTCCTTTGTTGGGGCTTCCTCTGTTTCCTGGCTGGGCCACCAGGGTTTGTTGTCTCACACATTTAACCTACAGCAGGGTCCTGGCGAATGTCTCACCCTGATTAGAAGCAGCAAACATTGCAGATCTCTTGCATAAGGTGCTGATTTGTCTCTTCCTTTCCATTACCTATGCCCTTTATTTCAGATACTAGAACAGGGGTCACAAACTCACATGCCTAGAGAGATGGGTAGGGAATATGAGGGAGTGACGTAGGCCAGCATAGCACAGTAAGGAGTGCTGGGAAAGCAAGCCCTCTGCTCCAGCCAGTTGATGCCACTCAGGAGCATGAGCCCAGTGTTGCCACTTATTCTGAGTTTTCGAAACAAGCCAGAATTCTGAAATTCTGTGTGAAACTGCCTGAGTCTTAAAACTGCGGGGTCCGTGTGTTTCAAGTCCAGAGGATCAGGCAGAGAGCAAGAAACAGACCTGAAACAAGGAGTCAGCAACAGAGAGGGGGTTTAGCAGCTAGAAGCTGAAAGGCTCTCGACACGTGGGGCGCAGGAGGCAAGCACTCTTTGTGGAGTATCTGTAGCAGGGAAGGAACTGCTGTGGGCATGTGGCCCTTTAACCATGGAGTAGTTAGAGATGGCTCAGCAACACTAAGGACCCAGCTTGTTAGTGGAATCCGTCGATTTAAATGGAGCCGGTCAACAGAATGACTGTCTTCAGCCCCCTCAGAGGCTTGTGATGAAATGAAGTGAAGGGTTCAGTTGATTTATAGCTGAAGATTTGAAAGATAGATATAATGGAAGAACATGGGGCTGAAGGTTATGAAGATGTTATATGGAAGGATTGGAGCATGCAGCCAGGGGGGACCAGGAGGGGCTGATGGACTGAGAGGAAAAGGAGAAGCCAAGGGATCAGAAGTCTCTTTGAATTCCAAAGTGGATTTAGCAGGAGGAGGGAAGGAAGTAGGCAAGTTAGAAAACTCCGAGATAACGGGAAATAGCCTTTCAACAAAAATTTGGACTTTTCCCCCTTATTCAGCTGAAACAAGTCATTTTAAATGGAGTTTTCTGGGGTACTAAGGAGAAAAAAATCCTCAAACAAAAAATTCCCGATCACAGAATTAGAGAAAGTAATATACATGCATAGTTTAAATCCGTTGAGAGATGTCTTGCCACAAACAAGCCCAACTTGCCCCCAGCAGAGAGATCCTACCTAGGAAATGCCAGTCCCCCAGTAATTCATTTTTCAGTCCTTCATAAACACTATCTTTTCCTTGTCCTTCTGTAAGAGAAAAATAATAGTATTTATTCAGTTTGATGTGCCTAGCACTGTGCTAACCCTTTATTTGTATTATCTCATTTAAATTCTTACAACAACCCTAAGGAAAAATGGTTATATCCATTTTACAAGGTAGAAAACTGAGGCCCCAGGAAGCTAAATAATTTGCTTAAGAATGTACAGATAGTAGCACAGCTGGGATTCAAACCTGTAACTGTCTTGACTTCAAGCTCCTAACGTCTATTGCATACTTTTATTCTGTGCTCTAATGTGTAACTGGACATTCCACTTTATTGACTCTTAGTGTCTGTGATCCACTAAACCACCAGGATTTTTTTCCAGAAGAAACTTCCATTAGGCTAAGAATCCTAGTACTCTGCTTAGGCAATTGTTATTTTCCTAACAAAATGCAGCAAATATATATTTAATCTCATTGAATAGCATCCTGGTGGTTTGACCTATGTGTTGGATGGGTGGGTGGATAGGTGGATGGCTGGATGAATGGATAGATGAATGGATGGATGGATGGATGGTTGGGTAAGATGAGTAGAATGGGTGGAATGGTGGATAGGGGCAGGTTGGATGTGTACTAATGAGGTCTTCAAGTAATTAGATATCCTCTCTGCTCAGGAAGCTTGCGGTCCAACAGGACAGGTAAGATAGACATACTTATGGACTATATGGGTTTGTATAGATAAATGGAGAGTTTTTAAGCATTCTTCCATGAAGGAAGGGTAATACCAATGGTAATACCAGTGTTAGGAAAGTGGTTGTTGGTCACTGTGAGAAGTTTCCTTGAGAAGGACATTCTTCAATAGCATGTTAATATTTGTAATTCCCTTTATAACTTGATTTGTTTTAGTAATTAATGGTGAAAAAGCCACTTTGGAAACCCCAACATTTGCCCAGAAACGTCGACGTACTCTGGATATGTTGATTCGATCTTTATACCAGGATTTGATGCCAGATTTGCATAAGGTAACCTTGGGTCCATGATCCTCTTTCATTCTCATGGGGTCTGAGTTGAGAACACAAGTCCTGGCAATGAATCCTGATTAGAAAAGCATAGGAGCCGCCTTGATCCCTGCTGTCAAGACTGGACTGTGGCCACATATGGGCTCATGTTCTCTCATTGTTACCACAAGAAGGAGGGGTGTTGAATGTCCATATCCAGGAATGTGATTTTCATAAAACCAGGACCTGTGGAAATCAAGGTGCAGGCTGAGGGGCATGAGTGTCAATCAGCAATCCCTAGAGCACTGGAGAGTGCTTTTTGGGGGTGGCTGTCCTTGGTGGTACTACTCAACGTTACCATGCCATAGAGCTGATGGACAGGCTCTATGTGGGGATTGTGGAGAAAGACTGGGTGCTTTTTAAGGTTTTCTGGAGACTTACTGGCTAGGCCCGTATTCAGGCACTGAAACAAGCATTTACATTTACTGAAAATCCACTTCGTGCCAAGACACTTCGTAGGCCTAAGGCGTATCCACACTGATGAGACCCAGCACCTCCTTTGAGGAACTCAGTGCCTCGAGGGGCACCCATGCTCTTTGGAGGCCTCCAGACTCAGTGTGAGATCACCAGATGTCAGGGATTTGCTAAAGCAGAGTAAAATCATTATTGTTTAGAAGCATTTCCCACATTTAACAAGGAAGCACAGAACAGGTGGGGAGACTCGCCTGGAATCCGTGCATTCATAAGCTCCAGCAAAAGGAATTGCTAATGATGGGTGTGAATAAATGTAGCATCAGGTTTCAGGTGCTTGCCCAGGGGAGATGAAGAATATCAAAATGCACTAGTGCTCATGTAGTCCTTGCCCTTCGGCACAGTGACCAGCACCATTTTATAGGCACCCTTGACTTCTGGCTGGTCAGTACACCCTAACCACTCACAGGGCTTGGGCCAGACTAACCCAGGGCCCTAAAGAGCAAGACGTAATTGGTAATCTGTCAATTCCTTTTTTCCCTGAGGTCAAGGAAGGGTGCAGAGAGGGTGCCAAGATGAGTACGTGATGTCCTTCAGGTCTCAGCTGAAGTGTCCCTTCCTTAGGCAGGCCTTTCCCAACCCCAGATAAAGCATAGTCCCCCTGTTATATGCTCTCAGATACTCCACGTACTTCCCTTGCATAGAAATTATCCCATGTGCCAATCATGTGATCAGTTACTTAATCTGTCTCCCCCGTTACACTCTGTGATCCACGAGGACAGACACTGTGTATATTACATCCCCCAAATCTGGCAGAGTAGTAAGTGCTCAGTCAATACTTGCTGATTGAGTGTACCCAATTCCCTGACTATGGTCTGGAAGAGAACTAACATTTACGAGCATGTGCCCAAACACAGTGCTAAGCACCTTACTTGCATTACCTCACTTAGTCCTCATAACACACCTAGGAGACAGGTATGAGCCACACAAAGACACTGAGACTCAGAAATTAACTAACTTGCCCAAAGTTACCCAGAGGACCACAGAGTTGCACAACTCCAGGGTACCATTCACATCGAATTCAGTATGTTGTGTTCTAGGGAGTGCCACTCTATGCAAATGGCTTCCCTGGAGCTGTGCAACGTGGTGGCCCAGATCACATATCAGGAAGTTAGTAAGCAATAGAGCTGCTAGTTTGCTTGATTTCAAAGCCCATGCTCTCAGCCATTACAAAGTGCTGGCTCTCCACCTGTTGGTTCTTTTATCCCTAACATCTAGAAGAGACCCTGGCACATAACATGGGCTCCAAAAATGCTTATTGAGTGAATGAATACAGAAGGTGGAAATAGGACTATTTGGACAAATAGATTTGTGCATTCAGAGAGGACAAGGGATGAGACTTGACCACCATTTTTGGAATTCATAACTTGTTTTTCTTTTTTAGAACATGCTTAATAGACGATCTTTTAGTGATGTCTTACCTGAATCGCCCAAGTCAGCGCGGAAGAAAGAGGAGGCCCGCCAGGCAGAGTTTGTTAGAATAGGGCAGGTGGGTTTTATTCTGAAACCTTGTTTGCAAGACGTGTAGTTATGAGTCCCATCCAAACCAGATGGCCCACCTGCAAAGAATATTATGTTTGCGTACTCCTGTGGAGCTCTGTAATTTCTCTTAGGATTACCGTGGACACCACAAGTGAGATTTTCGATAACCATGTAGGTGTAGTTCTCTGCAGGTGTGACTGAGAGAAAAGCACTCTGCAGAAGAAGGGGTGCTGCTGACTGGAAGCAAGAGCCCCTAGGGCCCAGGCTGGGCTCCCTCTTGTCAAGGGAGCACGTACCACTTGCCTGCCTCCTGGGAGTTTTCTGAAAAGTGGGGAGCCAATTTGGGAAAAGCACCTTGAACTCCTCCCTGGCAGGAGTAAGCACAGAGTGTCCTCACAGAAGATCGGAATTTCCCCCCTACTGCTTGGAAGCAATCACAATTAGGTGGCTCCCAGGCATCACTTTATTCCAGAAGAAAATCCCTCGCCCTTTGCCTCCCTCACATGTGACATTAGTATTTCTCAGTTCCGGGATGTGACACAGCTTTCTGCCTTGACCCCATGTCACAACAGAGAGAAGGAGGCGTGCTGCCAGCTGCAGATAAGGTTCTGACCTGGTAGTAGAGAGCTAAGCAAGGACAGCTTAGAGAAAGATAACTTCTTCCCAAAACAGGTGCCCTCTTACAGGGGCTCTTCACGTTGGTCCTCATTTAAAGAACCCCGACTCTACTTTCAGAGACTCTGATGCATCAAGTTTGAAGAGGGACCTGGAAACTTTTTTCAATGCTCATGGTTTGGAAATCACTGTCCTGTTGTACTGATTAATTGAAATGACAGGATGCATTTGGGCTAATTTGGGCTGAGACGTTGTCATCAGGGCTTCACCATGTCCAGCTAACTTCATCCCTTATCTTCAGTGATAAAGCAGTGTGGGAACCTGAAACTTTAGTCTGAAATTACTCCTGTTTTATTGAAAATATTTTTCAAATCATAATTGTTTTATCCTGCTGTTTTTTTACTGCCTGATAACAAACTTTAAGAGAAATCTCTGTTCTGTAAGGCGCTAAAACTGAAATCCATTGTGAGAGGGGATGCTCCGTCAAGCTTGGCAGCTTCAGGGATCTGTAAAAAAGAGGTGAGTTGATAATACTTTCAAGTTCAACTGTGAATGTCCTTTGTCCTCAATGAAGTTACTGCGATTCTTGGAAAGGGGTTTGTACAGCAAGAGGAAGGAGAGCTTGCCTGCTACAGAGTCCTCAAGGAAGCCCCAGGTAGAGTTGGGTAGACATTTCATGAGAGCCTCCTTATTTCTATAGAATGCATGCCTTTGCCTGCTTAAATGGAGCAGAGCTGCTAGACCAGGCCTGGTCAGGCAGACTGGGTGCAGCAGTGCTCCTCAAGCCTTGTGTGCATACAGACCACCTGGACATCTTGACCAAATGCACGTTCTGATCCAGCAGCTCTAGGGTGGGTTGAGATTCTGCATTTCCAACAAGCTCTCATGTGTTGCCTGGACTGCGGACCATGGACACGGTCTGAACAGCAAGGCTCTAGGGCAGTGTTTCTCAAGCTTTAGTGTGTATTAGAATCACCCGTGGAGTTTCTGACCCGTAGGTTTGGGGTGGGCCCTGAGAATTTGCATTTCTAATGAGTTCCCAGGTGATGCTGATGCTATTGGTGCAGGGACCACAGTTGAGAAAGCACTGCTTACTCTACAGTTCCTTCAGCCAGCCAAAAACGTCTGTGGCCTGTGTATCTACTTCTCATTTCCACTTCCTGTGGAAACAGAACTAGGTGGTAAACAAGAATAGAAGAGAAAAAAAACCCAATAAACATGTTGCAATGTGAACTTACTACTTGCATGATTTTTTATCGTAGAGCAATATCCTATGTGTACTTAATTATGCTATATTCGGAATTTGTTAAAGTTAAACGGAATAAATTCACAGACAGCGCATCACTAGAGAAGTGTCCATTATAAAAGCAAAAGTTACAAATATATTTACTTTAGAATAAAGGTATAGATGATTTGTATCTGAATTGTAGAAGCCACACGCTTTAAAGTCTGGTTTCAGGAAAATGTTGAGTTTAAAATACAATTGATGCTAAAAACCACAACCAATTTAAGACAAAACTGATGACAAAGCATCTTTTCCAAAGATTACAGAAATTCCCACTATCTGTTTGTTCATGCACATAGTAGAATGTGCAGTGTTGCCAAGCACTTTATAAATACCAAATTCCGGTAAGATTTAGTAACCTTCTTAATAAGAAGTTCTTAGGCATACATAAAAATGAAGCTCTGTGGACCTGTAACTTGTTCACCAGTGAACAACAAAGAAAGAGCTTCCATTTTTTGGATCAGTTCATAACCTACCAGTGTGGGCCACGGGCCGTCTTTGGAGAAACACTGCTCTAGAGGCTCAGGGACTGTTGTGCAGTTGGCTCTGCAGAGCCCAGAGCCCCACATGCTGTCCCTAGAGTGTTCTATTTACAAAGAATGAGTTTTGTCAACCTCCTAGGCATCCATCATTTCATGAGCTGTGTTAATGTTCTTAGAGGGAGCCAGCAACGAGTCCTGCGCTTAGGCAGGAAGGCCTGAAGACCTCATTCTCGCCCTGCAGAGTCTGCACCGAGCCCCTCACATGGCAGAAGGGTGTCCAGTGCAATGGCAGACGCCATCAGTCCTCAGACCAGAGCCTCTGTGGAGGCCGGTCTGAGTTCACATCACTGACACTTCATATATGATGTCTTCAGACGTCACAGAGTCCCCAGCCCCTTTGAGAACCCATGAAAGCAGTGGACACCCCTCCACACACTAGCCCATTAAAATGTACAAATGGCACATACATACAACATTTTGAATACAATTTCAGGGGTTGCGCAGACCTCCTTAAGCCCTCCATGGATCCTCTAGGGCCCTTAGATCTTCTGGGTTAAGAACCCCTGTTCTGCAGAAATGTTCTAAACTTGTGTCCTCTGGTCAGAGAACATTTTGTGATTAAGAGTTGGTTTTTCTGTCTTGGTGTTACCTAATGCTCTGATGTCTCTATCTGTCCCCCAGTTGGCATTTATATTGGCTTTGCTTTTTCGTGTGCTTCTGCTATAAGTCACAAAGTCAGAATTTCCAGAAATCTTCTTGGGGAAATGCCATTCCAGTTACTGACCTGCGCTTGTGTAGCCCTTTTGCAGTTAATAAAATATCTTCCCATTCTTTGTGTGTCCTTTTCAGAACAGTCCAAGCCTCATCTTAGCAATCACAATATTCATTTTGAGGCTTCTAGGTTTCTTAAAGGGAGAGCATAGTTTTCTAAGATAGCAATAATACACACTGTGTTTACCCTCAACCCAAATGACACCCTTGAAGGTCACCTCAGAGCCATCACTTTGAGTATGCAAGCGTGTGTTCACCCAGTGTGTACAAACACACCTACACGTGCACACATGGGCTCTTGTACAGCCCTGGGTGTGGTGTCTGATTGAGAGTAAAAGTGAAGATGTAAGACTTCAGCTCGTCCCTGAGAATCTCCAAAAACTTCTTTGTCCTTTGAGGCCAAGCCACGTGCTTTGGAGGGAAGTTAATGGTTCCGTTGAAAATGTTTGTAATTCTGGTGTGACCAAGAACCCACTAAACAAGCCCTGCTGACTCCCGGCATTCACACGCGGCTCCGAGGCAGTCGTGAGGGAGGACTACCTCTTCATGCCTGAAATGAAAATTAACGTTCATGTGGTATGAATATGCCGTTGGGAAACACGAGTAGGTTTTGTCAGCAACTCTTGCCGTGTTCCTACAAACAGATGTTATTTTTTCTTTAAGATTCTGTAGCCTTGAGTGAATCAATAAGCATTTTCATGTCAAGATAATAACAACTTCTTGCATTGTGGATGGTTTAACAACTTTGCTGAATCAGCAACACAGGAATCTGACCATTTTTTATTGCATTATGTGGAACTTCCTTTTGTGATGGACCAGTGTGAATTCTCCAAAAAATAGGCACTCATTGGTCCAATTTCTAGGTGTTAAAGAAAAATGTTTGCTTAGAAAACATTACCAATGCTTTGATTGCCCCTCAGGAGCATTGTTACAAAAGAGAGACAGATCATGGTGCCAAACATGTGACTTGACTCTTTTCCTATTACATGCGTATTTGAAAGGAGACTTTTCTTCCTCAGAAAGGTTGCTGAATCTAGAGCCCATTTAGCCACCAGGGTTTGGAGGGTATCTGTGTTGCTGTTTCAGGCGGTGTACTGTACATTTCCATTTGATGGGCCGTGGTGTATTCTTTCTCATGCACTTATTTTTGACGCTTGTGTTGCCTCGCAGCCTTGGGAGCCTCAGTGTTTCTGCGGTAATTTCCCTCATGAAGCGGTGTGTGCAGATCCCTGGGGCCAGGCCTTGCTGGTTTCCACCGATGCTGGTGTCTTGCTAGTGGATGGTTAGTGAGTAGCTGCTCCTTCAAATGTCTTTATTTGTGTAACTTGTAGTACTTCTAAGATGGGTGACTGCCAGTCAACTCCCTGTAGATAAATGTGTCATCAGCAATGAGGTTAGCAAAGTTCATTTCCTTACAAAATCAGCCCCTTGTTTTCAGGACAAGCAGAGGGAATATATTCTGAACAAGCAAGCCGGAGGGTGAGTCGTGCATGATAGGTTCATCTCGTCCCCAAATCTCTAATTAGTCTGTGGATAGCAGACCTGCAAAAGGAATCTTCTTTTCAGCCAATGTTTATCATGATTCCAACATTTTACCTTAAGTCCACAAGGACATGTTGTTATTTAGAGCTACTATCTCAGGGGCATGCTCTCTCGAAGTGCTTTTTTTTTTTTTAAAGGTTTTTAATTCGAAAAGTACTTTGTGTTCAAAACAAACAATAAGAATCAGATAACCCATTTTTGATGGATATAGAAACAAAAAGATTTTGAAGGAAAGACAGATTTCAACTCAATAGAAAATCAAACCTTTTGACAGCCAGGTAGATCAGCCTGCCTGGGGTGTAGTCAGTTCCCTGTTAACCCATATCAGCCACCAATCGGACATGCCCTTGGCGAGGATGCTGTAGAGGGAGTTCAACCTCAGACGGGGATTTAATTTAGACTCAAGGACTGTGTGGTCCCTTCCAGCAGGAGCCCCTTTTGGAATTTTCCAGACTCCTAATGAATTTTAAAGGGGCTAAACACTGGTACCAAGTCATCTCCTGGGGCTTCAAGGGGAGCCTTAGGCATAGAGACAGCATCTTCCAAGGGCACATCCTCCACTGCACAGAAGCAGGCTGCCCAGTCTCTGGTTATCATAGTGATGTTTTATGAGCATCCTGAAAACCACTGCTGGGAGAGTGACGTAATGGCCTAAAAGTGCAGCTTCTTCCCACCCTCAGCCATGACCTTTACTCCCTCCTCAGCCCCTGACTCAGCTGTTTACTAAGTCAACAGCTGAGTGCTGGGCCCTGTGCTGAGTGCCTTCTGTAGGAAAACGAGAGAGAGGGACAAGGCTCTACAATGGATTTATTTCTGACCTTATCTGTTATTTTTGATATATGTTTTAGTTGTGTACATAACATAACTATATATATAACTAATTTAGTAAAAGGCACATAATTTAAAATTAATAAATTCAGAATTTAAATATTTAATTTTAGAAACTACAAAACAATTAGAAAATCTTTGTGATCTTGAAGAAAACTTAACCTGACTGATCCTGGGGTTTCTTTAAGTGAGGGTAATTTTTTAAGTGGCTGAAAAGTCGTTTATAATGAGGGAAACTGATGAAATAAACAAAGTGGGGATGCTGGTCATAACCACAAGGAGTGGGTTGTGGCAATTTAAGAAAGTTACCTGTGTTAAGTGCACAGTAGTAACTTACTAAACAGCCGCTATTATCTTTACTATATCCTTTTGAACTTGCTAAAAGGTAACAAAATCCTTAGATTTTGCCAAAAGTGCAACCAAATAAAAGAATTTATTTAAAAAAGAGAAAACAGAACTTAGAGGTTTAGTCTAGACTCTTAGTCTTATAGATGAAGAAACTGAGGCCTGAAGAAACGATGTGACTTGCCCAAGATCACATAGCTGGTTAGTGGCACCTGTGGAATTAGAACCCAGAGGTGATTCCTAATCCAGAATCTTTCCACTAAACCAACTACATTTTATTGAAATTAAATTAAACTCTATCAATATTTTTGTCTTTACCATAACACAGATTTCCAAAAATATAGTCCTAGACAAATTATTATGAAAAAAAATTGTGATTAAAAGAATATTAAATTCTACCTGTTTGCCTTTTTGGGGAAAAGAAAGTATGATTCATAGTGACTATTTGTAAGGCTTGCCTAAAAACAGAAAAAAATTCTGAGTTGCTTCTGTTTTTTTAAATGTAAAACCTATACCAAGATTTCCAAGTCCTTTTCTGAAATTTTCGTCTTTATGGATCCAGAATTCAATGGCGGTATCAGATAATAAGGTTTATTGTGATTTGCCACAGAATTCTTTTCTTCCAAATTTAAGGGAAGTCATCTTACACAGGTGGTAGCCATATACACCCACCACCACCTTGGATGTATTACTCAGATTATTATTATCCTGTCCTGTTTATACAGTGAGCTGCCCTGTTTGTTTTTGCTAAAAAGGAAAATAAGCCTTAAGGCTTTCTTTGTATTCCTTGTTGTGCTTTTAAGCCATAATTCTCTTGTTATTTCTTTGTCTCCCTTTTTCTTGTCTACGCTTAATCGTATTACAACGGTTTCCGTGAGCGAATCTCTCCAGTTGGTTTCAGGCTGAGTTCTACTCTATTCCATTAGCCTCGGCTTAATTTCATTAGACTTACCCCCTTGAGAGTCTTCTCCTTTCAAGGTCATTATTAAAAATCAAGATCCTTTGTACTCTAACGGTAGCAAAACCTACTTTGAAGGGAAACTAAATACTGAATAAGTATGCTATCACCATTTGTTTTGGTTTTGCACTAATAGAAAAGCTGGATCTAAAAGATTATTTCTTCATAAAGAGATTAGGAAGGAAAACATTGTTATGAAACGATCATTAAATCCACATGTCACTTTCTCATATCCTTGTTTCCCCTTCTTTTTGTGCTACATATAAACCTGTCCAGCCACCTGAGAAAGATTTGATCGAGAATAACTGCTAATTTACTCTCTACATAGTTGGGCAGCTATACAGTATCCGTCCATTTTAAATGTAAATGGAAGTGCTTCTGTCATTTATTAATTCCTTACAGAAATGTTGCTTCCGTGGTTGCACCATCAATCCATGGGGATATGGTGCTGATTTTAGGCTACGACACTGGCTAGGAGCATGGGCTTTGTCCTTGCACAGACTTGGGTTCCACATGCTCAAGATATGACCTTTGGACAAGTTATTAGTACCTCTGAGCCTCAGGTTCCTCATCTGTTAAATGGGAGTATTAGAAATTCCTACCTAATGGGGTCACTGGGACATTTCAATTAAGTGACGTGTGAAACACTTAGCATTAGGGCCTGGCATGTAGGAGACCCTCTCTGTATGTTAGCTGCCATTCACAAAATGAAATAATCAGTTATTTAGTCATATATCATAATGATACTGGTACTGGAATGATCATCCCATGTTTTGAAAATCGAGTCTGCCCCCAGCAGAAGCACAAAAAGCCCGAGAATCAGTTCCTTTTGGGAAGGCCTGGGGTAGAGGAGGAAGGAAAGCAGTTTGACGGACTATCATAGAATTTACATTTGCCCCCATCATTCAGGGAACTAGAGACAAACCCTCCGTCTAATAAAAGCTTAGCAGGCTCTGTGCTCTGGCAAGTCTGGAGCCCTCACCGGCCTGCAGTTACTAATCCTGATGACAAAAGCTCTGCTCCCTCCTGAGCACCATCCAGGGATGGATGAACTCCCAACCACAGATTTCTGGAAGAGGCGAGATCTTCAGGGCTCCCTGCATGTAAATTATAGTTAAACACTCAAACCCAGAGCAGAGCACTTGACCTAACTGTCAGATAAAGTGCAGATGAAGAATAAGCTAGCCACTTCTCCTGCCTAGAATGTCTACACCTTCCCTTGACATCTTCGCCTTGCCTTGATTTTACGTCAAGACCAGAGTGAATCTTTTGCTTAGGGAACAGCCTTAATAATACTTTTAGCTTTCTTTGTCCTAGAGACTCCCAGAAGCAAAGTAATTGCTAGCAATTTAAGATCCCAGTAAGCAAGCTTAAAAACAAATCCTACGTGTAATTGCAATGTCTTTAATCATCCATTTACCTGACATCTTCCTGAATGTTTCCACTAAAATTAGTTTTTTCCTGTTATTTGGGCCATTTAATTGATATTTCTCTTATTTTTGTTTAAAAAGGATATTTCGTATTCCTATATGGAGAAATACTGAAAAACTATAGGAAACTACTATTGATACAGACATAGGGCGTGTTGGAATAGGGTGTGTTTGTATGTATTTTAAATACAAAAGGAAATTTTAATTTTGCTTTCTTGAGAAATATATAAAATAGCCTAAGATATGCAATTTCAAATATTGCATAAAAATCAGAAAATACTTAAGAGAAACGGCTAAGCATTTTTTTTTCATTTTAAATTTTAAAAAAATTTTTTTAACTTGATGTTCAGTCCTTTTGTACAACCACAGTAAAAATTAGGATTGAGAGATGCTGCTTTTTCTTTGATGAAAGTTGAGGAGAAGAATATAAGTTACGGGTCCTGCCGCTATGCTCCTCATAGAGAGTTCCAAATGCCTTTGGGAAGGAAACAGCAGTCCTTCTCCCTGAGCTGAGAGGAGAATAGTGCTTGAACTTACTGTAGAGCCCTTATGAAAGCTCTAGAAGCTGACCTCCTTCCTTGCCTAGAGAGAACTGGGGTCCAAAACTACCCACAGGCACATTCTGTAGGTTCTAGAAAGTGTGCGCTGGGTTGCAGTGTTGTAACCAGGCTTCCTTTTCCAGATGACCTTCCGTCAGTGCCAGTGTTTGACAAAACTCTGCCAGTGAAGCAGATGCACGTGCTCGAGACTCTGGACCTTCTGATTCTCAGAGCAGACAAAGGTGGTATTCCCCTCTGGTGGCGTTCTCTGGGAGGAAGGAAAGCGCGCAGCCTCCTGTGGCCAACACTGAGGGTCACGGGGGTCTGACTGCATAGGTCGTGCCAGCTGTTTCTCCTCCTGGTGCCCAGTGCTCAGGTCCCTGGGTGGCCCATTTGTTCTCTGAGGAGGGGATGGTGAGGGGGAGAAGGGGAAGGCATCCTTAAATGCACTGTTAGGTTAAGGCAGTGTGGGGTTTCTCTCGGATTCTAGAACATTCCAAATCCTAATTCCTCTAGCAGAAGTTTTCCCACGCAGTCTGCCCTTTCAGCTCTTCCAGGTCATTTTACTTTTCCCTTCATCTCCTCCTCCATCTGCTTTATCTCACCAGGAAAAGATGCCCGACTCTTTGTCTTCAGGCTGAGCGCTGTGCAGAAGGGCATCGAGGGCAAACAGGCTGTGAAGAGCAAGTGTGAGTGCAGAGAAAACAAGCTCGAGAAGACAAAAGGTGGCTTGATTTCTTCGTATTTTGGTGGTTTCTGTTCAGTTAATCTTTTTCTCAGCTGCCCAAATTTTACTGAAAATAAAAAGGAGTGGGAATTTGATTTTCTTGGTTTGGTTTTTAGTTGGAAACGTCACAAAGATAGCATCACTGGTTCCCTAAGAGAACCTGAGTAATAGAAATATGTGTTGAGGACTAGAGGAAATCCTAGGCCTGTGTAACAGGTTTTGAAGGTGAGTTAAGCTCTGTTAGCAAACCTGTGAAAAGAGAATTTTAGCCTTTGGTTCCTGGAGCTCTGATCAGCCCTCACTTTAATTCGTTTCATGGAGTGGGTATGAAGCTAAGTCCACAAACTCTAGAAAGGAGGATATATGACTTCCTTAATTTTCCTGTAAGTCAATGCAGTTTTTCTTTCAAGTCTCCATTTTGTCTGGTGGCAGTAACATTCTTAGTCATTTCACTGGGTTATTCTTAATTTCCAGGGCTCTTAGGTATTGCTGAATTGTCAAGGCCTGGGGGCTTCCAATCTCTTGTTATGTGTTCAGCATCACTTATTTCTCTTCCTAGGCTGCCACTTGTATGCCATTAACACTCACCATAGCAGAGAGCTGAGGATTGTTGTTGCCATTCGGAATAAACTGCTTCTGATCACGAGGAAACACAACAAGCCAAGCGGGGTAACCAGCATCCCACTGTTATCTCCCCTGTCAGAGTCACCCGTTGAAGAATTCCAGTACATCAGGGTAGGTTTTCTCTTCAAATCCCTTCTCTCCTGGCCAAGGTGTCATGAGGCAGACTCTCTTCTTCTACCCAGAGTGTGTCATCCACTGGGGTTGTCCCACAGTTCAGTAACCAACTAGGGAAGCCGTCACCTGGTGCCCTAGTTTTTCCCGGAGGACTAAGGCAAATGGGGTTTTCCTACTCCATCCAGCTCATCCACGCCAATGAACACCTATAGATGCTGTTCTAGGCACTGAGGATACAGCAGTGCACAAAACAGAGTCACTCTGCTCGTGGAGAGTGCTTTCTAGTTGCAGGAGCACAGAAACGAGCAAATAAATCTATGACGCCTGAGATAACAATAATGCAGGGTCACAGAACAGAGGACAGTGGAGCGGGGAGGTGGGGTTTATTTTAGGAAGGATGTCCGGGAAGCCCTCTCTGAAGAGGTTACCTTTGAGCAGAGATCCAAATGCAATATGGGAGACAGTGATGAGGAACCTGGGGAAAGTGTATTCCAGGCAGAAGGAGCAGCCATCAAGGGCCCAAGGCCCCATTCAAGGCACAGTCAAGAGACTGGGGTGGCTGGAGCCAAGGGAATAGGCAGGGAGGTCAGAGAGGATGGGGACCAGATTCTTTCCAGCCCTGAAGGCCACTGCAAGGGCTTTGGCTTTGACTCTGAATGAGAGGGGAAGCCCTTGGAAGGTTTGAAGCAGAGAAGTGGCATGTTTTAGAAAGATTGTTCTGGCTACTGGATAGAGGAGAGCATAGGGGCCAAGAGTGGAAATAAGGAGTCCTTCTAGGGGCCGGCCCGGTGGCGCAAGCGGTTAAGTGTGCACGCTCCGCTGTGGTGGCCCGGGGTTCGCCAGTTCACATCCCAGGTGCACACTGATGCACCGCTTGTCAGGCCATGCTGTGGCGACGTCCCATATAAAGTAGAGGAAGATGGGCATGGGTGTTAGCCCAGGGCCAGTCTTCCTCAGCAAAAAAGAGGAGGATTGGCAGATGTTAGCTCAGGGCCGATCTTCCTCACAAAAAAAAAAAAAAGGAGTCCTTCTAAAAGGCTAATGCAGGATCCCAGCAAGAGACGATGGTGGCTTTGGTAGCTGGAGAGGTGGGGAGAAGCAGTGGGCACAGCTCTCCACTTGCTTTAGTCAGTAGGATTTGCTGATCAGTTGAGGGTGGAACCTAGTGAGAGAAGCCTCCTCGAGGGTCAGGTTCCTTCCCTGATCTTACCATTTCCATCTTTTTAAAAACTATGGTACATTAAGGCATGAATATGTCAAACATTGGCTACTAAGGCAGAGTATGCCTATAGGTGAGCTGAGAAATTATTTTTGCCTAGAGTTAAAGCCTCCTGAATCATGTATATCAACTTCTGCTAATATTCAATTCCAGGGGATAGAACAGCATAACAGCTAAGTTAAAACAAGTTAAAATCTTGCTCTAATTAGGTATTAGTTGTCTTAATACAGTAATTAGCAATTTTAATGAGTATTTACGTAGAGCATGTACATTTATGTGGAGTGTGAGTTCTTTTTTTTTTTTTAATTTTCCCCCCCAAAGCCCCAGTAGATAGTTGTATGTCATAGCTGCACAGCCTTCTAGTTGCTGTATGTGGAACGCGGCCTCGGCATGGCCAGATAAGCGGTGTGTCGGTGCGTGCCTGGGATCCGAACCCCGGGCCGCCAGCAGCGGAGCACGCGCACTTAACCGCTAAGCCACAGGGCCGGCCCCTGGAGTGTGAGTTCTAAAATCAGATTTCCTGAGTTCAAATCCAGGCTCTACCATTTATAAACAATGTGACCGTAGGCAAGTCACGTGACTTTTGAACCTCAGTTTCCTCATCTGTGAAATAGACTAATAGCCTTACCTCCTTCATAAGGTTGTTATGAGGATTCAATGAGAACAGTGCCTGACACTGTGTTAAATGCCCAACAAGGTTAGCAATGATTATTTTTATTATATCACAGGACACGACCAATCTGAGGACTAACATGGACCACACTGTTGAATCAGTTTTGTAAAACTGTTTCTGGCCTCTCCCCTTTGCAGTGGACAGAGGTCTGAGTGTTGAGGACGGTGTGGGAGGGAGAAGTCTGATGCGATCCCTGCCCCGTTTTCCCTGTCCCTGCCATCCCTGCAGGCACAGGGCTCTGCAGGAGCCTGGGGAGGGCCCTCTTCTGGGTGGGGGGTGGGCAGTGGGGGCTTGATATGAAGATGGCTGCGCTGTGTCCTAACCCCTTTCTCCTACATCCTCATCAACTACACAGGAGATCTGTCTGTCCGACTCTCCCGCAGTGATGACCTTAGTAGATGGGCCAACGGAAGAGAGTGACAATCTCATCTGTGTGGCTTATCGACACCAGTTCGATGTGGTGAACGAGAGCACGGGGGAGGCCTTCAGGCTGCACCATGTGGAGGCCAACAGGGTGAGCTGACAGATAAGGGGAAAGTGGGAAGCAAAGAAGACTAGGAGTTGTGTCTTCTAACTTTGTGATGCCATGATTAGGATTTCTTTAAAATGATGTTACTGTTTGTCATATCAATATTATGTGATATACTATTTAGACTGCGCCACATGAACTTGCCATTTTTGTAGGTCAAAATGGTTCAGTCTAATGTAATAAAACTGCCCCATTGCCCTGTTCAGCTTTTCCAGATCTCCTGCTGCCATTCCATCCTTTCCAATAAAAGAGAAATAAAGAGTCAAAAAGCTAAATACAAATAATTAAATAAATGAGAACATTTGTTTGGTAATTCATACAGGAAAGACCTTTGAGGAATAAGCTTGCTCTCAGGAGCCCTACAGACTCAAAGCTTGGGGCCTGGCTGGCCGGGGAAGGTGGAGCCCTGTGTTCATCCCCTTCAAGGCCCATTAGGAAAGGAAGAAGGGACGGAGCACCATTAGGAGAGAGAGAAGGAACAATCAGCACTGGGGGTCTGCACCCCCTGGCCTGAGCTGCACAGAGAGCAGGGATGTCCTGGGTTTGGACAAAACTAGGACCCACTCAAAACTGCACCAAAGCTCTCAAGATGACTTTGTGGGATCTGATCATTAGCACCTCTGGAGGGCGGTGAGCACTCACCACCCCGAGACCTGGTGACCTGTCTGTCACTGGAGCTGCTCCACGCTGGCGGAGTGGCTCACAGAGCTCTTCAGCCCCTGTATTGCTGTGAAGCAGGGCAAGGCCTGATGACACCTGAGCCACTTGAAGTTTGCTTAGTGCAGTGCCAGCTCTCCCGCTCAGGTACCAAGGACACCGCAAATGGGGACGATGCCCCCAGGGAGAACATGGTTCCTGACGAGAGCTTCTAAACCCACAGGCTTCCCCAGTCCTGTTCAGTTACCTCAAAGAGACTGCAGAATTCTTTCTAATTATGCCTTATAAGAAATAAAAAATACAACTTGTATTAGGACATGCCCTACATAAATATTCATTAAAATTGCTAATTACTGTATTAAGAAGACTTAACACCTAATGAGAACAAGATTTTAAGAAACAGAAAAATCGCCGGGGCTGGCCTGGTGGCATAGTGGTTAAGTTCACGTGCTCTGCCCCAGCAACCCAGGGTTCGAAGGTTCGGATCCCGGGCGTGGGCCTATGCACCACTTATCAAGCCATGCTGTGGCAGGGCGTCCCACATATAAAGTAGTGGAAGATGGGCATGAGTATTAGTCCAGGGCCAATCTTCCTCAACAAAAGAGGAGGATTGGCAACAGATGTTATCTCAGGGCTAATCTTCTTCACCCCCCCAAAAAAAAAAGAAATAGAAAAATCAGAAAAAGAAAAATCTAGATTAGGAGGCCTTCTTGTCTTCAGCTGCTATCAATCACAGATCAGTTTGTCATTTCTCTTATGTATATATTGCTGATGCCAAAACTTGTCTGCAATTGGAGTCATCTGAGGATCTTCAAAAGCTACCGATGCCCATGCTGCACCCCCAGAGATTTCACTGGTCCCTGGTGTGGCCTGGGCTTTGGAAATTTTAAATGATCCCCAGGTGATTCTAATGCTCAGACAAGTTTGGGAACCACTGGCATACACTGCTCTTCACCCTGGCTATAATCGCCTGGAAAGTTTTAAAAAGATCAGTGCTCTGACCTCACTCCAGATCAGTTAAGTCAGAATTTCTGGGTGTAGCGTACTTGGGAATCAATATGTTTTAAGTCTCCCCCAGGTGATGCCAATATGGACCTAGTAGAACAGATCTATCCAGAAACTTCCTAATTTAAAGCCAGGAGGACCGCACCTCCATCCCAGCAGCGGGAAACCTGTAATCTCTTCCAGCCTGCTGACTTCTTAGGAGGAAGGGCCCAATTTGGGCTTTAAAAGTCCTTGCCCATAGATGTTAGCTCAGAGCCGGTCTTCCTCAGCAAAAAGAGGAGGATTAGCGTGGATGTTAGCTCAGGGCTGATCTTCCTCACAAAAAAAATAAACAAATAAAAGTCCTTGCCCCCTGCTTGCTTTTCAAAACTCTCTGTGTGACCAACCAAAAGAGGCCGAAAAATCATGGCCTAGCTGGTGTTTATTCAATCAATCCTTTCCCTGGCAACTAGTTTCCTAAGACTTATCCCGCTTTTTCTGGTGATTATTATTATTTACTTGTATTTAATACCCTGATAATTCATTAGAGTGTTTGTGGACTTTCTCTTGATTCGTGAAGTCCCAGGAAAAATTGGGTCAAAAACAGTTTTCTTTGATGACTTCTGTGTTTTATTTGTTTTTCTGAAAGCTACGAGGAACAATTCTAAAATTTTCTGTCTTTTCTTCAATATGCTTTTTAAAACAAAGATACAAAGCTTTTCCCTAAGAGAAAATGTTTCAAAAAACAATTTTAAAGCCCTTCCCTGGATTTGAGTGGATTGGTGTGTGTATTTCCTCTGCTGGTAAATTAGCTGCTGGTGAGTGTTTGCTGAGCAGGCAGAGAGGTTTAGACACAGTGACTCGTCTTTGCAAGGAATTTACTGTCTAATTGGGAAGATAAGCCCCAGAGAAATGAAAAAGGTAATGAACAATGTGTTTTCTAATAGTCAGAAACGGGCCCTGTGGGAACGGCACAGCTTTTTACCAAGATTTTTACCACAGCTTTTTACTACAGGCCCTGAGTGCAGTGGAGGCAGGAGAGAGAGAGGTCGACCCGCCTCAAGTTCTCACGTCATTGGGCACTTCACTGTCATACGAGTTACACTCACTGCCTGCCTGCTCTGTGCCCGGCACCAGTGATTGGGCTGGCCTGGTTCCCTGCCCCCATTCCTCTTCTCTTCCCAGCCTAGACCACTCGATGCCCATTTCAGGCTTCAACCTCAACTCAGGGTCTAAGACAGTCCTACTTCAAGACAGGAAATGTTTAAGGAGCACCAAAGCAGCATTCTGAAAGTCACCATCAAGTTCGTTTTACCGACAGGCCTACTGTGACCTACTGCCCCAGCTCTAGCAGCCAGCTCTGGCTCGTTCCCAAAACAAAAGTCTCCTCCGGAAGGAACCGCAGACCTGGTAATGGGGTCTGGGTCTCTGGCTTGTTCACTGGGCCCAAGTCCCCATCTTGACCGTCTGCCCAGAACCAGTGGGTCTCAGTTGAGAGCTCACCTTGGAATCACATGGCAAGGCTGGCCACTGACTTAACAGTGGCCGCTTCTTTCAGCTGAGGCTGCAGAAGGTGGGGTGCAGACTTCACTTGTCACAAGTCTGGGTTTTGAGTTTTTACAACCACCCTATGTTACTTTTAGCATTTTAAAATGCCGATAAAATGAACTACTTATTTTTAATAACTAAAAATTAAAAAGCCAATGCCTGTGTCCTACCCTAGACCTACTATATCAGGATCTCTAGGAGCAAGAACCCAGAATACACATTTTTTTTTTTTTTTGGTGAGGAAGACTGGCCCTGAGCTAACATCCATTGCCAGTCATCCTCCCTTTTTTTCCCCTTTTCTCCCTAAAGCCCCAGTAGATAGTTGTATGTCATAGCTGTACATCCCTCTAGTTGCTGTATGTGGGACGCGGCCTCAGCATGGCTGGACAAGCGGTGCATTGGTGCACGCCTGGATCTGAACCCGGGCTGCCAGTAGCGGAGCGCGTGCACTTAACCGCTGAGCCACGGGGCTGGCCCCAGAATATGCATTTTTTAAAAGCTCTCTAGTTGATTCTCATGTCCTCACCCGGGCAAGAAACAGCGCTGCCGAGACTGACTCCTGTCAGGCTCCTCGCCCAGGGAGGAGACCAACGTATGCATCGAAGCCTGAAATGGGTCTCACCCTACTAAGTGTTAATAAAAGTCTGAACAAAACGCTATGGAGTGCCCAAGGAGGAAGTGGTCAAGTCCCAGCTGTGGTCTCTGTCCCTGAATCCCGGCCCTCTGGCTGGAGCTCCCCCATCGCCTGCCCCACGGGCTGAATCTCGTGCACAGGCTCAGATTCCGTGCACAGACCGTGGTCTGAGAGGCTGCCTGAACTTCCTCTGCTCCTGTCCCTGCTGCCTGCCCCTCCCACCCCCAAACACGCACAGGCCGAACCTCTAAACTAAAAGCTGTCCGCTTCCACCCTTCCTCCCGCAGTTGACCCTCCCGTAATTATAATATACACAGCCACCACTGAGTGACCACGTCTAGGTACCGGGCCCCCGTGCCAGAGCACTTTGTAAGCATCATCTCACGAAATCTTCCCAACAATCTGTGGGGAAAGTGCTGTTCACTTCCCCATTTTTGCAGAAAAGGAAACTGAGGCTCAAAAAGAAGTCACTTATTTACCCAAAACTACACAGCTAGTAAGTAGCAGAGGCAGGAGTTGAACCCCGGCTGTCTGACTCTGAAGGCCGTGCCCTTCAACCCAGCATGCTGTGGCAGCCACAGCCACGTCACAAAGCATGATGGGGAGAGCGGGTCCAGGCTACAAAGCTGACAGCACTCAGCCCCTCCCCTCAGGAAGTTCACGGTCTGGCAGAGCAGACACTGTACATGCCCACTGCGGCTTAAAGCCTCTGGCTGAGCTAAGTGTCATCAAACTGACAAGTCCTGGGACACCTGAGGAGGAGGTGATTCTAAGTCAAAGCTGTGGGGCCAGGGAGGATCCCTTCAGAGGTCTGAGGGGGCTCAAGGGCTGTTCCTTCATGTAATACATCCACTGGTGCTGGTTGCACAGGTAAATAATGCCACCAGCTGACATTTAGTGAGCGTTTACCAAGTCCCAGGCCCTGTGCTAGGGGCTTATGTAAGCGACCTCACAGCATCCTCAGCCCCCGTAGGACTACATGCTCTTATTATCTGCATTTACAAATGAAGAAACTGAGGTTCTGAGAGGTTAAACAACTGGCCTAAGTAGATATACCTCTAAAGTGACAGAGGTAGGATTTCATTTATTCACTCTGCAGTCAGTAAGTGTTTATTCTGCTCCTGCCACTACCCGGCCCTGTCCTAGATGCTGAGGATATAACCACGAACAGCACAGCACAGCATCTGCTTTATGAAGCTTACATTCTAGTGGGAGGAGAGCTCCAGTAAACAAACAAAGAGGTGAACACTTGGGCTGGCTCTGTGGCTTAGCGGTTAAGTGCGCGCGCTCTGCTACTGGTGGCCCGGGTTCGGATCCCGGGCGCGCACTGACGCACCGCTTGTCCGGCCATGCTGAGGACGTGTCCCACATACAGCAACTAGAAGGATGTGCAGCTATGACATACAACTATCTACTGGGGCTTTGGGGAGAAAAAAAATAAAGAGGAGGATTGGCAATGGATGTTAGCTCAGGGCTGATCTTCCTCACAAAAAAAAAAAAACAAAAGACAAAGAGGTGAACACTAGACAGCAATACATGCCATACAGATCGTTAAAACAGACAGGTATCATATATAACAGTGAAGGAATTATTTGGGGTTTGACCCCCAAGGCTTTCTCATCCCAAGTCAGCTCACTTGACATCTGGGCCTGACTGTCTCTCACCCCTACAAAGCTCCCACTACTCTTGGTTGCGGCATTTACCCCATTATACCTTGTTTTATGTATTGGTATGCTTTTCTGATTTTTTTCTTGAGGTGTGAGACCCTGCCGTATTCATTTCTGCATATGTAATGGCACCTAGGACAGTGCCCGGTAATGATGGGCGGACAGGGGTAGGGGTTCCATTGGAGGGACTGCCAGAGCCATGGCAGAGGCCCTGGCTGAGGGTGGCCTGTGGGGGTTCAGCACAGCAGTGAGACTATACAGAGGAGAAGGCTGCGTTTTGGTGACAGCAGTGAGAGGAGGGCTGGCTTGGCGGAAGACCTGTGGGAGGAGCCCCTGTTCCTGGGCAGTGCAGAGACTGGAAGGGGCGAGAGACAACACGCGCTCCTGCCTGGGGAGGTGGGACCTCGCTGGGGCAGCAGCAGTGGCACACATAGACACCAGAGAGACACAGAAGAGGCTGCTGCTGGACTTGGGGGGGGACTTTGGGGATAGTTCTGCTAACAAAAAGGAGCAGGTTTAGAAGGAAATTAGTCATGTGTAAGAGAAAGATAATAGCCATTTTGTGTCAGGCCCTATGTGAAGCCCTTTGCCTTGTCTCATGGAATTCTCATTACAATCCAGCAAAGTAAGTATTGTCATTATACCAGTTCATGGATGAAGACCCGAGGCCAAAGATTAAGCCATTTGCCAAAAACCACAGAGGCAGTAAATGGTATTGGCAGGATTTTAGCTCAGATCTGTCTGACCAGAGTCCGTGCTCCCATCTGCTCCCCCACACTGCCTCCTGCGTTTCTTGGATATGGAATCTATTACATTTGACAGAACAAAAGTCACAAATATGGCTGGAGCTCTAGGAGAATGTGTGCCTGAGGTTGTAGATTTAGAGATTTTGAGCGTAGAGTAAAATTTGAAGCGATGAAGGTGGGTATTTTTCTAAATGAGAGAAGAGCCCCCAAATGGAAGAATAAGCCGAAGTGGGAGAGAGGGCCGGAGGGAGGAGACGTCATATGTCAGAGGCCGTGGAGAACTGGACAAAGGGATGAGCAGTGGCCAAAAGCCTTCAGTTTTGGGGAGAAGGAAATCTTGGTTGAGCTCGAGAGGGCAGTTTCCCTGATAGTATGGGGGCCAGACTATAAGGGTTGAGAACACAAATGAGGAAGTGAAAGAAACAGAAGATTTTTAGAGGGTCGGAGCCTTGAAACTCAGGAGGGACCAAGGACGTCATCAGGTGGAGCACCCTCTTCTCAAATGCAGAAACCGAGGCCCCGAGAGAGGAGTTTGCCCAGATCACAGAACTAGGTCTTCTGACACCCTTTCCATTGCATCCTGCTGCCTCCCTTGAAATGAAGGAGAGAGAGGGAAGAGAAGCGAAGACACGAGGATCTTAAGATTCAAAGACCCTCCGTGTTTGAGGCAAGAGGAAGCCTGGCTGAAGTGTGAGAGGGGTAACTAGGAAAAGAACCAGAGACCCAGTGCAGATCTTGCCTGTGGCACTTACTAGCTGAGGGCCTAGAGTGACTTCACCTCTCTGAGCCTCACTTTCCTCATCTGTAAAACGGGAATAATACCATCTAATTTCCGGGGTTGATGTGGGAATGAAATGAATAACCCACATAAAAAAGCTTTGTGAACCGAAGTACATATATGAGTCATGATAGAGAGGAGATGCCCACCTACAGAGCTTCTCAAAGGGTATGGAAGGACAGTGAGAAAATCCCAGTGGAGAAAGAAGAGACGTTTCTCTCTGTCACACCTACCGTGACGGTACCCTGGCCGCCTGTGTGGCGCTACGGTTGCTGGTGAGGTGGGAATGAGCCCACAGCACCTGAGCCGAGGGCCACTGCCAGACACTCGTAACTTGAGAAAGTCTTTGAATAGCGTCAGTGTCCAGCCTGCCCACGACCGTTGCCCATTCTCATTGCAGGTTAATTTTGTTGCAGCTATTGATGTGTACGAAGACGGAGAAGCTGGTCTGCTCTTGTGTTACAACTGTAAGTGAAGGCTGTGTTTGTATCTTTCTTTGCTAAAATTGACTGTTCTTTTTCTGGGTAATTCAAAGTGAGTTAACCTTAGATTGACCTGCTATATCGTTCATGTCCTGATTGCATCCAGGGTGCATCTAAAATTTGCATTCCTACCTGGACCTCCCAGTACCCCCCAGACCTGCTGGGGAGATGGTGCAGCAGCCGCTGCCTGTGGTGCCTTCTCTGGGATGTGGCCCCTCCGTGGAGGGAGCCCTTAGTGTGCTGTGTGCTGTGCTCAGTCTGCTCGAGTCATTGTCTCTCTAATTCTCAGGTCCCGTGACTGTCTGTAGTTTAGAGATGAGGCAACTGAGGACTGGAGGGGTGAACTGCCTTCCTCGAGATCATGCAGCTACAAAGTGGCAGAGCCAGGGTTCACACTGGCAGCCTTTTTGGCTGCAGCACCCCAAGTTTTTACTACGGTTACTATTCTACTTTTTTGCGATTTCTCAGGTGTTAATGCAATCAGCCTAACCTGGTGTATCCGGCCTCAGTGGGGTTAGTTTGGGGCAGGTGGCAGGGAGGTTTCAGGCAAACCGAAGGTACCAAATAGTGTCTTAGAAGGACTTTCAGCATTTCGAAACCTAACATTATACCTCAATAAAAAGGATCTTTTTAAGGCTAAAAGTAGTAAGATATTTTCTTGGATAAGGCTGCCCAGTCTAACTAAAACAATAAAACATATTTTTTCAGCTTAGAATTTTATATTTAGAGTGGTGATGCTGGTTCTATTACATGGGTCAGATATTTTGACTAATCTTTGTTTAATAATTATGGGAAAGCTATTTATCAGTAGAGAAATTTGGTAAACATCTTTCAATATGCAAGATTTATGAGGAATAAGTTAGGAGAACGTAGTCACAAGAAAGAACCTCTTCAACAATAAACTGCTCTTTTGGGGTATTTTATCCACAAGGTCTGTCTAAACCCTCCTCAAAACAGCGGGTCTTTAACAGCCCACTTGAGGAGAAGGGCCACGCTGCCCACGCTCCAGCGTGGGATCCTAGATGCCCTTGCTCAGTGGCCAGGCCGCTGCTGCTGCTGCCCTCTGTCCCAGGTTTACGAGACAAGAGGGGTAGGGGTCACACGTTTGAAGTCACTTCTGTAAGTTGTTTATCTCTTTAAAGTGTGATCTTTTTACTTTATTGAAAAATATATGAGAAAAACTTGTGGCAGAATGCTTTAAAAACTTACGTAGTTTTTTTCTTTTAACTGCTTGAAAGGATGGGGGGATTTTAGGTGGGAGAGAAGTTAAGAATAGAAAGATAGAACAGGTTTTTAGAATGAGAATGAATCCCAAAATGAAAAGGGAGCATGGAGACAAATGTGAATGATATCCTCTCTTTACCAAATTTGAAGCTTAGTGACTCCAGCAGCCAGCATTCCTGGGGACCAGAGTGGTCCACTGCTAGGCAGGTGTGGTTCCAGTGGCCTCTTCGTCCCATGGAGCCCCGTGGGAGTTCATTTCTCCTGGCTTTGATCATCTCCTGGCTTAGGCTCTGGTTTCATTTCAGGAGGGGAACAGTGTGTGTCTGTTTTCAGAGACCCACCAGGTCAGCAGAAGGTAATCTCTGAGTCTTTAGATCCCATGTGGGTCAAGGCCTTGGCAATCCCAGAGGCTCTCAGACCCGCCTCAGTCTTCCCCAAACTATCTTCTTTGGGTCAGGAATCTGGCTCTCGTTTCCACCTCCCTCTTTCTCCCAGCAGGTTGGCAGGTACCTGGCGAACAACCCAAGGAGAACCAGCTGGTTTTCCCCAGTTACCCAGGTCACTTCTCTAACACATTCCCCCCTACACACAGAGCACATTCATTGGCTTGTTTTATTCCATGTTCTTTTCTTGATCACAGACACCGGTACAATAAAGGCCCTTTCCAACAAAGTGCTGTAGAAAGATTTTGTTTCCCCCCAAATTTGAAGCTGATTTTTATCATTTATGTCAGTTCCTTTCTATTACAAAAAAACAAAGTAAAAGATAACTTTTATAAACTCAGAGTTTTGTATAGAGAAATTTTTATCTCAGATATGTTGAAGATGAAAATATTTTATAATAGAGGTTGTAACTTCCAGTTGCATGTTATATGAGAAAAATGTATTCGCAAGATAAACTTCAGGGGAAAAAAGTATAAGTAGTCCAATATGTTGATGATGTTCCTCTTTTCTTGTAATTAATCTCTATCTTGAATACCAGGGTCAGTCTTTGCCTAAAAAAAGAAAGAAAAGAAAATTTGGCTGTGACCTTAGCACACAGTAATGATTCACCTTTAATGCAAATAATAAAATTCAGTACTAAGGGTGAACTCGGTGTTTCTTGATGATGTTTTAGAGATAATCACACAGGAGAACTAGATTCTCAATGTGACCATATTTAACCTCACTAAGTCTTAACTTCCAGAAGAATACAAAACCTACTTCTCACGACTGTCGTGAAGATTAAACAGAATTCCACATGTAAAGCCCATAACACATTGCCAGGTACAGCAAGATTTTATTTTTCCTCCTTTTATTCCAGATTTATCAAAGTATTAATTCAGAATCCAGTTTTTAACCTCCATAGACTTTTCTACATACAGAAAGGGACTTTTCCTCAGAGAAATTTGATGTACAGTTAGAAATAGTATCTGTCCCCTGTTCTCCACTGGCTGGATGGGGAAGGCCAAAGGCGTGGAGGTCATGGACTCTGAGCTCCTTCCTGTACAGTGACATTCTTAGACTCCGGCCCCTCTCAGCGCCCCCATTCAGCTGCCCTTTTAAACCACAAGGGACGACCTTCTCTGTGCCAGGCACGCATTAGGATCTAGAGACACAACAGTGGAAGGCACTGCCAGGGACTGCAGTGAGCTCACAGTGTGGGGGAGAGCCAGGCACGGACGCCAGCACATTGATTGTGCACGTGCTTCCCAGCTCTGGGGTTCAAGAAACACGCTTCACTTACTCTTCTAAATCAATGAAGTCTAATCGGAGCCCCCTCTCCTCAGGTGCAGAGAACATCAATATTAGCTGTTGGGAGGGAGAGCCCCTGCTTCTCTGGTGTCGTTTGGAATCCCTGGGGCTTATTCAAGTGGAAAGCGGGGGGGGGCCTCTGAACTGCAGTCTGGGTTGCCTCATGCACGCCTGTGTGACCTATTGCTCAGGAGGGCAGCTCTACTCTGAGACAGGCTGAGGCTGGGTCTGACCCCGCTAGGCACATACACAGCCATCCCCTACCTACCCAGGATGCTGTGTGCTCAGGGAGCTCTGGTCTCCTCCAGCCCAAACCCCCTCAAACCCACCAGCAGTTTGCTCTCCCTGGTAGGAGTTGGGGTGGGACAGGGGAGTGGGGAGGAGATGTGTGTAAGGGACCTGGACCTTTAGAAACATGATGCTGCTCTGTCCTTCCTGTGTGGGGACAGGGAAAGAAGAGTCGTTCATTCATTCAGCAAGTACTTACTGAGCACCTATGTGCCTGGGGGTTTCAGCAGTGAATGAAATATACACAAATCCCTGTACTCATGGAGTGTACATTTTAAAGGGAGCAGGTAGACAATTAATAAGATAAATAAGAAAAATACCTAGTATGTTAAATGGTAAGTGCTAAGGGGAAATAAAGCAGGGGGAGGGGATGGGGTTGGCAGGAGTGGGGAGAGCAGGTCACCATTTAGAGAAGGTGAAAAAGGAAGGGGGCACTGGAAGATGAGCGGAGAGAAGACCTGAAGGGGTCAAGGAGCAGGATGTGAAGATAACCGGGGAGAGTAGTCTAGGGAGACAACAGCCAGTGTCAAGACCTAGAGGAGGGAACATTCTGGTATGTTTGAGGTGACCCCAAGATAACCATTATGGCCACAACAGAGTGAGTGAGGGTGTGACATCAGCAAAGAGAACCAGATTCAGGCAGGGCCTGGCAGATGAAAGGCCTTGGGATTTTACTCTGGTGAGTGACTGGAGGATTTTGAGCAAAGGGGTGACATGATCTGACTCAGGTGTAAAAGGATGACTCTGGTTGTGATGTAGAGAATTAACTGAAGCCTGTAAGGGTGGGGAGGCCAGTTAAGAGGCAACTGTACCCATCTGATGAAAGGTGACAATGGCTTGAACCAGAATGACAGCTGAGAAGTGGTCAGATGCTAGATGTGTTTTAAATATGAGAACCAAGATAATTTGCTGACGAATCAAATGTGGGATATAAGAGGAAGAGAAAAGGAAGACTCTGCAGTTTCTGGCATGAGCAAATGGAAGAATGGAGAATACCATTTACTGAGATGTGGAAACCTCTAAGAAGAGCAAGTGTGGGGGGCAAGACGAGGAGTTCAGTTTGGACATGTCAGTGCCTCCTAGACATCCCAGAGGAGACACTGAGCGATCGGCTGGATGTTCAAGTTGGGAGCTCAGGGGAGAGGGCTGGCTGGAGATACTCATTTGGGAGTCAGTAGCATGAGAGTCATGAGATTAAAGAGCTTACCCACTGGGAATTGGGGAGAGAGACAGGAGGAACCAGCAAAGTAGACTGAGGAGTGGCCAGAAAGACAGAAGAAAATGGGTGGAGTCCTGAAAGGCAGTGTTTAAGGAGGGAGCCATCCGCCGTGTCATTGCCCCAGACAGACCAAGTGAGATGGTTTGAGAACTGCTCTGGGATTTACAAGGGGAAGGGCTTTGGGAATCCTTGATGAGAGCAGCTGTCTTTGGGGCAGCAGTTGGGGCAAAGGCCTGATTGCTTAGGTCAGGAGAGAATGGGAAAGAGGAAATAGAGACGGGGCGTCCAGACAAGTCTTTCAAGGAATTTTGCTTTAAGGGAAAAAGAGAAAGGAAGGGTGCATAGCTAGAAGAGGGAGAGAGATCAAGGATTTTGTTTTCTGAAAGATGGAATAAACAGCAGGTTTTAAGGTGCTGGGAAAGATCCAATGGAGAAGGGAAACTGATGGCACAGGAGAGAGGGGAGCATTGCCTGAGGACGTCCCTGGGGAGGGGAAAGCTGGTGGGCCAGAGTGGGAGGAGGGAGGATTAGCCGCACCAGAGCATCCGGAGTCACGGGCAGGGGCCAGAGTGGGCACAGCAGGTGAGGGGCCCTACCATGCGAGATCCATGGGAGATCCAGGGTCCTTCCTGAACATTTGTTTTCTCCAGGAGCAAAGTCTTTAGCCAAGAGCGAGGATACTTTTTCTCCCCTCGTGGATCCATTGTAGCAAAGCAATACTGACCTGGTTAGTTTTTCCTAATAACTGACTCTGTTAGATAAACAATTATAAGACAGTATAGGATAACTGCATTACAAGGCACAGTGGTCACATCAAAGGAATCCCTAAGCCCCGATGGGGCAGGACATTCCGAAAGGATTTGACAGGGCGAGAGTTTCAAGAGCTGGCCTCCTGCTGCCATGGCCACCAGCCACCACGGTTCTTCCCACATCATAGCTTCTGATTCTAACACTATGGATGGGGAGCGACTGCTCAATGGGCATGAGGTTTTGTTTTAGGGTGATGAAAATATTATAAAATTAGATTGTGATTATGTTGTACAACCCTGTAAATATACAATCATGCATCGCTTAACAACAGGGATACATTCTGAGAAGTACATCGTTAGGTGATTTCATAGTTTTGCGAACATCATAGAGTGACTTACACAAACCTAGATGGCATAGCCTACTACACACCCAGGCTATATGGCACAAATCTTATGGGACCACTGTCGTATATGTGGTCTGTTGTTGACCAAAACAATGTTATGCGGCGCACGACTGTACTAAAATTCATTATAAATTATACACTTAAAATGGATGGATTTTATGGTATATAAATTATATCTCAATAAAGCTGTTTTAAAAAATAATTTAAAAATAAAACTGTATGGCTAAAATGTAATGGGCTTCTGGAATAAAAGGGACTTTTGTTTCTACATGGACTTTCTCACTCTAAGAGGATCTGAACCACCTGGACTTGTGTTTAAAGCTCGGAGCGGGCCAGGAACAGGGGAATTGAATTAACCAGGCCTTACTCTAATGCTGGCTCAGGTTCACCAAGGTGCTACTGGCATATGGCTTCAAGTTTTCCTAATAAAATGTAGGGGGGAGGCGGAGTCGACAGCTGCCACCGCACTTGTCCCGCTGAGTGAGGCTCAGAACACGATCTGCTTTGCGGGAGGGCTTCCTCTATCCAAGGGATGCTACCAAGTGTCCCTTCCTCTCCGCGGTCAAGCAGACCTGTGTTCTCCCTGACATAGTACTTGCGAGACTTGGGACAAGCTACTTCACCTCTCCTTGCCTCAATTTTCTCATCTGTAAAATGAGCACAATAATAGCGTCTACTTCATAAGGTACAGATTAAACAGGATGTTTTGAAAGCTCAGTGTCTGGCACCTAGTAAATTCTCCACAAATGGCAGCCATGATTACTTATAGTGGTACTATTACTCTGGCTCCGACTGCCTCCTGACCCTGAGACTCTGGCATCCAGCTGTTTACAAAGGATGAGCAGACAGGATGCTGTTCTTGTTGTCTGTTTTTCTTTTATCTAATTACAGTTATCTGAGTGTCGTCTCTAACAAAAATGAGTTGCTTTTCTTTCATTGCAGACAGTTGCATCTATAAAAAGGTTTGCCCATTTAATGGTGGCTCTTTTTTGGTTCAACCCTCTGCATCAGACTTCCAGTTCTGTTGGAACCAGGCTCCTCATGCGATTGGTAAGAAAAACCTTTCTTATAATGCTCTTCCCCTGCATAGATACATCTGAACTGTTCAGTCCTGTGTAAGCAAACTTGCTGGCTTCCTGCTAAATTGCCATAAATTGTGTGAGGATGGTGAATACTCAAGAGTGTTCTTTTTCTTCTTTAATTGTTTTCCATTTTGTTCCCTTTGGGGACTATTGTCTTCCACTTTTCCTCCCAGTTCTGAGCATGTGAGCATTTGAAAGCAATTAAATGTGAGTATCTTTCGGGATCCTTTCATTTCTGGGCCTTGCTTTCCTTTTTCTAAAATTCGAGAGCAAGATCTCCAGCTTTAACACTGACTGACTTCAGGGAGAAGCACAATGCATTCAGCGCCATTCTTATATATTTTGAAGCTTGAAAATCTAGAATCATAGAAACTCGGGTACTTTGCCATTGAAATGTCAGGACGTGAGTGGTGGTGCTTCGTGTCTGTGGTTCAGGATCCACAGCTGGCATCTGCCTGGTGACAGTCAGATCAGAGCCAAGAATGTTCCAGTTAGCACTGTTTTCCTCAAAGTACAAGTATTTGTTGACAGGTAAACATATGGTCCAGCTTCGATGACAGATTAAACAAGATGGTAAAAAAAGAGAGGAAGGATTGAAAATGGCGTTCAGGTTCTGAGCCACATGCTGGAGGTCCCTTGGGAGATCAAGGCGAGAGGTTTGGGTGTGGTAGAGTCACCAGGGTGAAGCCAAGTGGGTGAGTTCACCAAGGAGAGAATGCAGAGGGGATGGGCCGGTGAGGGGAGAGAGCAGGAGATGGCGAGTGAAAAAGGCAGAGGTGGCAGCACTGGGCAGCCAGGGCAGTTGTGGCGCCTGGAAGTCAGTGTGTCGTAAAAACGCTTTCAAGAAGAGGGGCCGACCTTTAACCAATAACACACCCACTGAAGCCGAGGGACACCGAGGGACCGTGAGGAATAAGACGCAGCCCCTGCCCAGACATACACGACAGGAGGAGTGACTGAGCGACAGGGACTGAAGAAGGAGTAAAGGCCAGGGTTTCCAGGCAGAACGGCATGTGCCAAAGGAGCGGGTGTGTCGTGCTGTAGTCTAGACAATCAGGGGGACCATCCTGTAGGACCTGAGCAGTGAGCCTCCAGAAGATCGGGTTGCGGGACTGCGGGAGGAAAGATGGCAACGAGAAATGGAGACAGCGCACATCTACTTAAAGCAGGGGCTTGGCAATCAAGGGGAGGCTATCTTAGGAGTGCAGGCTCTCTTAGAATTGGGGGACATGCCCCGTGAAGGAAGAAGAGGAGCAGCCAGAGGAATGGGAGAGATGGAAGGTTCTGGAGAAGTAAGAATGAATGTGGGGGAGTCCTGGCACCCCCACAGCCACAAGGCAGCCCGGTTTCCTTGCAGTCTGTGCTTTCCCGTACCTCCTGGCCTTCACCACCGACTCCATGGAGATCCGCCTGGTGGTGAATGGGAACCTGGTCCACACAGCAGTCGTGCCGCAGCTGCAGCTCGTGGCCTCCAGGGTGAGTAGCACTGGGGTTTTGTGTCTGCCTGCGGGGCTTCGGGAGCCCCTCTCAACCAGTTAGGCTGATGATGACAACACTGCTTGTATGTCAAAATGCCAAAAGGAGGATGAAAGAGCTGAAAACAGACTCATCATTTGGGTTTCCACGTGTGGCCCCTTTGGGCTTCAAAACACCCCTCCTTAGTTTTGTTAAGAGAGTCGTTCGGTGCTGGTGACAGTCGGGGACCACTCAGCTGAGAAGACCCCATCAGAGACTGGGTCAGTGGTCACCGTGCACTGAAGGACAGTCCAGGTCTAGAAAAGAGCTTGCAATATCGCTTTCTTCCTTTGCCGCTCTCTATCCTCAATTTGAATTCACATCCCATGAACTATGGCTAACTGATGAATCCATGTCTGGTAACAGAAGCTGAGCAAAACCAAGGGATGCAGGAATGAGGATGACTTGCCAAGGTGTCTTCTACTGCTGGCACATAATACAGGAGGTCTTGTTCTAGTCCCCTCCCCTGGGTCAGCCCCACGCAGGCTTCCCTGGCCCTGCCACTCTGGGCTGGTTCCCCTATGGCACCTTCTCCATCCCGACATGCCTCACATTTGGTGGTGGGTGACTATTTGTCTGCCCTCCCCACTACACTGACAGAGAGCAGGACTGAGCTGTCTCATTCCCCAACACAGTGCCAGTGGTGTGCTGGTAAATGTTTACCCACCAACTCCCCAGAAAATGGGTGTGTGTGTGTGTGTGTGTGTGTACATATATACACATACATATATATATATACATTAGTTGATCATAAATTTTACTGATATAAAAATTAAAATAGCTTACAATTTACAAAAAATAATAAAACATACAATGCTTTTTACTTTAAAGTCCACTTAGCCAGTTGGCTCTCACAAAATGCTCTTGTTAAAATGCTGAACTCTTTTATCTGTAACCAGCCTATGGTTGCAGCCCAACTGTGATTTTACGTTTGGAGTTATATCTCAATCCATTAATTCTCTTTCCAATAAATTTGTTGTCATTAAATCTGATATGTGATCCACTATTAAACGATTTCTCACCCCCATACAAATCATAATCATTAAACCAAAACTTCTTCCAGTTTCCACAGCCTCCACATACTTTTTTTTTTTGGGAGGAAGAGTCACCCTGAGCTAACATGTGTCACCAATCTTCCTCTTTTTTTTTTTTTTTTTTTGGTGAGGAAGATTAGCCCTGAGCTAACATCTGTTGCCAGTCTTCCTCTTTTTTTGCTTGAAGGAAGATTAGCCCTGAGCTAACATCTGTGCCAGTCTTCATTTTTTTTTTTGGTGAGGAAGATTGGCCCTGAGCTAACATCTGTTGCTAGTCTTCCTCTTTTTGCTTGAGGAAGATTGGCCCTGAGCTAACATCTGTGCCCATCTTCCCCTACTTTATATGTGGGATCCCTCCACAGCATGGACTGACGAGTGGTGTAGGTCTGCGCCCGAGATCTGAACCCGAGGACCCAGGCCACTGAAGTAGAGTGTGCCAGACTTAACCACTACACCATGGGGCCAGCCCCAAGACTCCACACACTTTTAATTTTAATCTGCATTATTAACATTTTCTCCATCACTTTAAGTCTAGACAATCAACAAAACAACAAATCAAGCTCTGATTTGTAGCATCTGCCAATTTCTGTGGTGTAAAATGTCCCACCATGATTGATGTCAAGCTTCCCGTGTGATGCCATGGAACACAGAGTTGGGAGGAGATGTGCAGTAGCCATTAGTATCCAGTATTTCCACCTCACAGATACCATGATGTAAATAACCTCAAGAGCATAGGTAATAGTAACTGTAGTAAAATAATTAGGAGTGGTTGAAGTTTGATATTTAGTACCTTTGTTTTTAATAAAATTTATTTAAATTCAATAATGGCTGTGCTTAACAGCTGACTTGCAAAATCGCTGAAAATCGGCACTCGTGAGTCAATCCGAGCTGGCTCCAGCACACCACTGCGTCATCACCCAAGCCTGCATGTTAGGGGTGTGCACAAGTATGACCGTTGCACAATCAGTGAGTGAATGAGCCATTTCCCCGTCTGTAAAATGGCCCTGACTGAATCCCCAAATCCTTGCAGTTCTAACACTCCACGTGCCTGAGATTCCCGTGAGGAAGGTGTGTGATGTGTTTGTGTTTGCACAAGGTGCGTGGGAAATGGACTCTTTTCTATTGTGTATCAACAAATAGAGGAGGCAAAAGTGCGGGGTTTTCCTCTGGGAGCCCCCTCCCAGGCATGTTACTGCACTGCAGGCCCCCAGAATGTAGCAGCTACACGTGAGGAACAGTGGAAGCTTCGCAGTGATGACAGGAGGGCCAGTGGTGCAGGGCCCGTAACACCAGCAGCTCGGTCATGCTGTCTCTCTCTTTCCAGTCGGATATCTACTTCACAGCCACCGCTGCTGTGAACGAGGTCTCGTCTGGAGGTGGCTCCAAGGGGACCAGTGCCCACAACTCTCCTCAGACACCCCCGGGCCGAGAGACTCCAGTATTTCCTTCTTCCCTGGGGGAAGGTGAAGTCCAATTTTTACTGTCTTATTAATAGATGTTTTTAATACATTCTGATTTCTCTAGTTCATTGTCAAATATCGACACATGAGTACTGCCTAAGGAAGTCACTATTTAAAGCCATGAAAAACACTTGCAGTCTGAATGCATTAGTTGCATTCTTTTTTTTTTTTTTTTTTGGTGAGGAGATCAGCCCTGTGCTAACATCTGCCAATCCTCCTCTTTTTTTGCTGAGGAAGACTGGCCCTGGGCTAACATCCGTGCCCATCCTCTTCCACTTAATCTGGGACGCCGCCACAGCATGGCTTGACAAGCAGTGCGTTGGTGCGCGCCGGGGATCTGAACCAGCGAACCCTGGGCCGCTGCAGCGGAGCGTGTGCACTTAACCGCTTGTGCCACGGGGCCGGCCCCTAGTTGCATTCTTAAGAAACCTTGTGATAACCAAAAAAGAAAAAAAAATCCCATTATGGAAACAATTATTTCAATGAGGAGAAGGGAGTTGAGGGCTAGAGAGATTTTGACTTGCCACAGCAAAGTTATTTTTCCTTCACGGATGTTAACGATACACTGGGTTTTTCTAGCTAAAAGGATATAGCCATCAAACCTACACATTACTCAGCACACCCAGTCTTTCACTCTAGCTGGCTTTGCCCCTGAATCCCAGAGGCCTTTGCTGTGGTTACCACTTTGCTCTGAACACAGCACTTTTCCCACCTTCTCACCACATCAGTCATCTTTATGGCTCCTCGTACCGATCAAGCACGGAGCTCCCCAAGCAGGGCAGCTGTTTGCTTTTCTTGTCTACTCTCTTCTCCTGTGCAAGCGTAACCAGAAGTGGGTGCACTTTATCCAATTTACCCTTGAAAACGATGCCCTTAAGAAACAAGGCTGTCAGGCACCCTCACTATTGCTCCTAATGAGACCTGGGAGATCAGCATCCGACATAAGATCTTCCTTCATGCTATGTTGAGGAACCAGAAATTTTCCTTTTGTAAATAATATGAACTTTTCTTAAAGTTTTGACGTTCTTTTCTTAATCATATTTCAGGTGAAATTCAGTCAAAAAATCTGTACAAGATTCCACTCAGAAACCTTGTTGGGAGAAGCATCGAGCGACCTCTGAAATCGCCCTTAGTCTCCAAGGTCATCACCCCGCCCACTTCCATCGGCGTTGGCATCGCTGCCATTCCTGTCACTCATTCCTTGTCCCTGTCCCGCATGGAGATTAAAGAAATAGCAAGCAGGACCCGCAGGGAGCTGCTGGGTAATGGCTCTCAGTTTTTGTGTTTTCCCTGTAAATATACCAGCTGGTTTTATCTTTGGATATTAATCATCCTCAAAACAATGAGTTAAAAAGAAACCTTCCCTCTAATGAGGAATTTATAAGTAAATTTTAGTGCACCCACACCAAGGAATACCGTACAGCTTACCCACCAACAAGGACGTGTTGATCTATATGCATTGGTGTGGAAAGCTTCCAAACCATGGTAAGAGGGTAAAAGGCAGTTTGTATACAGTATGTCTAGTCTGATACAATTTTTTAAAATATAAATATCTAAATATGTACGATCTCCTAGAAAAGTGTCGAGAAGGATTGACATCCTGCAGTTCTCAGATGACATGTTATATTTGTCTATCCAGAAGTGTAAATTCACCACGTTTTTGCATATTTGTGTTACAGTTCAGTTATCGCAGCTCGCAGCCCCTAGACCATGGGGCAGGCCTGGAGGGAAGGTACAGATGCAAGATATTGGTTATGCCCTTCTCCCTTGATTTACAGGCAGGCGGCCAGAGCAGAGAAACATAAAGCACTGTGATAATGTGAAAGGCTAGACTGTTAGAGAGCTTTTTGTTCAGAATTGTGAGAACAAAATGAGGAAAAATGGAAGTGATGTGTTAAACGGTTTGAAACTTGAATTGGGATCTGCGTGGCCTAAAACTGTGAGGACAGTTGGCCTAAGCACACCTGCGCTGCAGTAACGTTTCCTGAATGACTGGACATGGGGATCTGGCCACCTGACAGGCAGGCTCTGACCTTGGCAAAGTCGGTTGGCTTTAGAAGGTAGTCCCTTCCACTGTGCTTTTACGATATGTGTATTGCAGGGGCCGGCCCCGGGATGTAGTGGTTAAGTTCGGCACACTTCACTTCAGCGGCCTGGGTTCGAGGGTTCGGATCCTGGGCGCAGACCTATACCACTCATCAGCCATGCTGTAGTGGCATCCCATGTACAAAACAGAGGAAGATTTGCACAGATGTTAGCTCTGGGCTAATCTTCCTCAAGCAAAAATAGAGGAAGATTGGCAATAGATGTTAGCTCAGGGCGAACTTCCTCAGCAAAAATAAATAAATAAACTAAAATATGTATATTGCTATTTTTAACCCAGTATTCCCTATGAAAGCTTCATCTGCCAACCACTGTTACAAACCTCTGTGCTTTTCAGAAATTGAACCTCTGAGTTGGAAAATTATAGTTTCCAGTGGTAGAAAGACTCTTCTGAGTCTTTTTGTTTCAATACATATATTCTCTATAATAAAAAAAAAACCCTTCCACCAACAAGAAAGCCAATTATTTAAAGATATATATTTTATCATCTTTCTTCCTGACTCTAGCCCAATAATGCACCAATACCCAACCAAGAAAAAGGCATGTTCTGTCTCCAGGGCAGCCCTGTGGTAACGACCCTCTGACCTCTGATTCTCTCCTGTGATCCAGGCCTCTCCGATGAAGGTGGACCCAGGTCAGAAGGAGCACCAAAGGCCAAATCGAAAGCACGGAAGCGGTTAGAAAGCCAGGGAGGCCCCAAGCCAGGGACAGTGAGATCAACGAGCAGCGACAGGTAAAGAGGGGGAGCAGCCCCCAGCGGCCCCCGTGCAGGGTGGTGGCCCTTCAAGTCACAGCACTGCCCACGAGGCCCTTTCTGCTGACTGATGACACCATGGGCTGGCCCCTTGACAAGCCACAGCTGAGGGTCAGCGTCCAGCTCTTCTCTGAGGATCTCCAGAGAGCACAGCCCGCCAGGGAGGGCCCTGACAAATGGGCAACCTCACTAGCAATCCAACAAGTGCTCATCAAAATACATTAAGGGACTTTTTTTTTTTTTTGCTCACCAGATTGACAGAGATTTTTTTTGAAACAAAAATGCTCAATGAGAATGACAGGAAATAGGTACTCTCCAATACTTGTGGTGGGAATATAAACAGGTACAGCCTTTCTGGATGGCAGTTCAGTATCATATGTCAATGAATATTTGTTGAAGCCGACTGATTTGTGAGTGGAGCCCCTAAGATTCTGTCCCTCAAGCACCATCATGCATGCTCCTGTGTGGAGAGCAAGGGGACACATGTCCAGGCTCCATTAATTCACTCAGCACACATTCTTGGAGCACCTGGCACTGAGCTGGGTGTTGGGGATATGGAGATGACCTTTAGGGGGTTCACAGGCCAGTGGGGAAGGCCAAAAAGGACATCCTAGGAATTAGAGCATTCCAGAGTGGCAGGTGATGCAGAAGAATGAGGGGTTCCACACACCCCACGCCTGGGGCAGGGAGGGTCTCAAACATCAGGGAACCCCAAGCCATGCCTCATAAATCAAGTGAGCATTGGCCTAGCGAGAGAGGGGCAGCACGCACTCATGCTTTAATCCCACAGACTCTTATTGAGCCCCTCCTACGTGACAAGGCCTCTACCCTCGTGGACTTTACATTCTAGTGTGGAGAAACAGACAGTAAACCTATAAACAAATAAGCATATTAAATCATTTCCAATAATAACAAGTGCTGTAAGGAAACTGAAAAGAAGATAAGTGATGGGGGTGGGGTGGATAGGTCTACTTTGAGGAGGGGTGGCATCAAGGAAGGCTTCTTTGAGGAAGTGGCATTGGGACAAGGTTTGAATGAATGAGAAACAGCCCCTCTGACAGCAGGGCCAGCAGGGGCAAAGGCTGGAGAGAGAGAGAGAGAAAGAGAGAGAGAGGGCTGGCCCGTTGACACAGTGGTTATGTTTGTGTGTTCTGCTTTGGCCACCTGGGGTTCACCGGTTCGGATCCTGGGCGTGGACCTACTCACCGCTCATCAAGCCATGCTGAGGCGGCGTCCCACATGGAAGAACTAGAAGGACCTACAACTAGGATATACAACTGTGTACCGGGGCTTTGGGGAGAAAAAAGAAAAACAGGAAGATTGGCAACAGATGTTAGTGCGGGGCCAGTCTTCCTAAAAAAAATTAAAAGATATTATTGAGAAAAATATTTTTTGAAAAAAAGAGAGAGCGTCCCGAGGGCAAGAAAAAATAGAGGGGGCGGGGGTGGGCCGGGAGGAGGCTGGAGGGGTCAGCAGGGCCAGGGCCTGTGGATAGGAGTTTCAGCCTTGTCCTCAGGCATGGGGAGCCAGGGTGGGGTCCTTTAGGCAGAGAGTGACATTATCTGGATTTGAACTTTAGAAAGATAAATAGGGCCGGCCCCATGGCTTAGCCGTTAAGTGCGCGCGCTTCGCTGCTGGCGGCCCGGGTTCGGATCCCGGGCGCTCACCGAGGCACCACTTCTCCGGCCATGCTGAGGCTGCGTCCCAAGTACAGCAACTAGAAGGATATGCAACTATGACATACAACTATCTACTGGGGCTTTGGGGGAAAATAAATAAATAAAATTATTTAAAAAAAAAAGATAAATAATGCCTCACAAACACCTCCTGTGTGGCATTGGCGTTAAAACTCACAACTGTCACAAGTTTACAAGTGACAGTAAAATCAATGAATCACCAAAGTAGTCATTCATAAAAGTTTACTGTGCACACAGCAAAAAGACTGCTTGCAAACTGGAAGCACTCACACCAAAACGTGGAATGAGGCTCAGGGTATGTGGTTATAAGGCAGCTTATATAGTAGGAGGCCGTGACTGCCTGTTCTTCACAGTGACTGGTTATAATACTAGAATTTTCTTAAATCGTAGGGACTTGGTCAGTGGTTACCTCATATCAACCTTGGGAAACAGTTCAAATTTTGCTTATGATTTCCTGAGGAGTAAGCAAGAAATGACCAGGTCAAGTTAGTCTTGCAAAATAAGCTAAACTAAACTTTGTATGACTAAACTAGTTTTGTCTGCTCAGGGAATTTTCTAGATTGGTCTCCGTTTGTTTTTTAACACAACAACCCATGAGGTAGGGCTGTCTGACTGGAGAACCCAAGCTCTGTGGGGGTGGGGGGTGACTCCTGCACTTCCCCTCCCTCCCCCACGATGGATGGGGGATGGGGGAAGACAGGCTTATGAGCTCAGATGCGCAGGAAAATGCCAGACAGAATAGGCCCAGTTCAGTGGTGATCCTTTTACGGTGACTCTTCTCTTCTAGGATTACTTCCGGCTCCTTGGAAAGTCCTTCTACTTCCGAAGCCAATCCCGAGGGGCGTTACCACTCAACAGGCTCTGACCAGGACCCTGTGGCAGACAGAGAAGGCAGCCCGGTCTGGGGCAGCAGCCCCTTTCAGCTCACAGCTTCCTCAGATGAAGACATCATTGACTTGAAGTAAACAGAGTCCGAATCGAGTTTGCCATCTTTAATTTTCTTATGGAGGTTTACACTCTTTAACCAGTTCTGACATCCTTTCTCAACAAAATGTGGCTTTTAGCCTGTCATGATCTATTGGACCAAACCTTCTGCATACTCGGCCAGTTTGGGTCACTCTCTAATGTCCAGTGCCATCTTTCTTGACCTTTGTTTCTTTCTGTTCAGGAACCATCAGTCCCCTTGTAATAAAGGTGGTAGATTTCATTGAGGTTTTAGATTGAAACTTTGAATAAATCAAAAATGTTCATTCTTATTTACTGCAACCTTCTCTTATATTTTATATACTTAGATGGAAAAATTATTTTTTCATTAGTTTTGATTTATGTCACATAATGTGTTTCTTTTATAAAGAAAAGCCATTGCTTTTAAATTTTATTATAAATAAGTTTTCTTTCTGCACCTTTGGCCCCGGTTACTGTTTCAGTTCACTGTGATCGGAACCAGCTGCGTTCCTGCCTAGAGACTTTTGAGAAAAGCTGAATGGTTGGATCTTAGACACTCCTGCTTCTTCCTCCTTGTGTCTCACAAAAAATAATAAGGTATAGGAGCTTGTTAAGTCTTAAGATTATTTTGTTTGGTTTTCTGGTTACTCTGAAATCATATAACCAGGGAACAGTTACTCCTTGTCATTGAAATCATCACTCTCAAATTCCCTCCTCTTGTTCGGGTCTGCTTTGCACTTTCACCTGAACCAAATGATTATCCTTCCTCTTGTCACTTATCTGCCTTCCATGGCTCCCTCCTCAAAGTGAGAAAATGTGGGTTTGGCCAAGTGCAAATGAAACAGCAAAACGTCAGCCTTTAGCCAGGGGAGAGCAAAGCGGGAAAGTCTAGTTTCACTGACACTGTAAAAATTTTAATCTGTGTGAAGAAGGTAATTTACCTTTGGCTTTAGTCTGATGGATTCCACCTTATTATCTCTCTTCTTGCCTATATTACCCATCAAAAGAAACTTGAAATCATTTCCCCTGTTAAAGTGGCTCTGAGGAGGTTTTCTGCAGGTCTTCTCCATGAGTGCAGAGAGCTGTGATTGACATGAGTTTGACCTACAGACTTGACAGGAGCTGGGATCCTACCTTCTAGCTCCCCTCTCTGCCTATTGCACAAGTGATTCAACGTGATGAATCCAAGCTGAGGGCTGCCTGGTTCCCTTCAGCAGAAGGCAAGAGTAATCAAGACAGTGCTTTTTAGGGCTGCCCAGGTGGGGTGTTAATCACCAAACATGTCTTCTCATATCTTTACAGCATTCCGCACTCCCATTCTTCTTTTGCGTTTTGTATGCCCTTCTCATATATAGGGCAGAACATATGGTTGACTACATACTGGATCTCGACATCACCAAAAGTTTTGTGAATTAGGTTTTATTATTCTTGCTTTTCAAATAAGGAAACCGAGGTTAAGAAAGGGACAGTGATTTAAACCTGTGAGTTCTCTGACCCCAGAGCTGTGCTCTCTCCCCTGTCCACCCTACAGAGCCAGGTCTTGTGTCAGTTGGATCTGGCTGGTGTTTTTCATGTTAAACTAATTTGTCAGCTTTATGAGCTTGTATGTGTGTTTTTCCTGTCCTCTTTTTTTTCTGAAGTTTCTTGCTTCTCAGCCTGGAATAGAAAAACCAAGGGCTATTTAGACCATTCTTCCCAAGAGACTGGCAGCATCAGAGCCACCCCATGATTCGACAAGAGTCACAGATCTGAGGAGAAAATGTAGAAAGGGCGAGAGATGGACCCTACTAAACAGACTGATGTGCTTAGCTTGGAAAAGGGGGCAGGAGGCTGCTCTGGCAGCGGTATCTGCTTATGAAGGCCAAGATATGAACACTCATGGGAAGGGAGACCACCGGCCAGAGGGCAGGAGCAGGTTTGCAAGAATCCATAGCTCAGAGGGCTGGCTGGCCCTTGCTGGGCTCACTGGAGCATCCTGTCTACATAAGCCTCTCTGCATGCAGCAGTCTGCCCACCGAGTCTGAGGCATTCATCCACTCTGCAAACACCAAGTGCCCACTGTCTGGAGGAGGAGGTCACGTCCATTGGGGGACAGAGAGAAGCAAACAGGTGGTCACAAAGCAGTGATGATTGCTCTGATAAGAATTTATAAGTGGAGCACAAGATGCCAGTGGAAGCACAAAGGGGGGGGTCCCCTAAGTCTTTAAAGATAGTGCAATCAGGTGACTGCACTAGACCAAACAACTATCTTAATCACACTGGCTAGCGTTTGAGTGCTTCCCATGTACCTGGGCTTTTATATACATTGCCCCTACTCAAAACTCTGCTGAAGATAGCTATTGTCTTCCTCACTTAGATGTGAGGAAACGGGCCCAGCAAGGGCTTAGAAGCCAAGCCTCTTACTCTCAGATCCCTGGTTCTTTCCAGAATTACACAGCCCTCCACACAGCTGCCTGCGCCCAGACAGTGTTGGGTACAAATGGCCAGATTCTAAAGAGCCCTGACCTCATCATCCTCACCTCCAGCAGTGTCTTGGGTGCACACGTAGAGAGGTTGGCTATTAACATGCGCAAGGTCTCAAAGTTGAGAGGTATTAAGATGAAGATTCAAGAGTCAGGATTACCTGTCGAGTGGAACTTAACAGGGAGCGTGGAGCTCACCATTTAAGCCCAGATCGGTCACACACGTGCGGCATGGGGACCTCCCCGCGCCCCGCCCCCACACTCACACGCAGGTCCTCCGCGTCTGGAGGTCCTAGTCGTCGTCGGCTCCGTAGCCGTCAGCAATCTGGGGGCCCTGAGTCGTGACCCGCACGGAGGTGGGAGGCGGCGCGCAAAACCACGCCTCAGTCCCCCTGCAGCGCAGCAGGAGCACGGGGCCAGGCTCGGAGAAGAGAGCAGCCCAGGACAGTCGTTTGGAGGCGTTCTGCCCTGAGGCTCTCAGTGGGCAGTGGGCCAGGCAGATGGTGCAGGCTCCTCCAACCCAGGCCCCAGGGCAGCAGTTAACAGAGCAGGAACCTCAGACCGGATCAGGGAGGACAGCAGCCGGGAGTAGGGGCGGGAAGTCCTGGGCTTGGCCCACGTGCTCCGCCTTTGTGCGGCTCCTAACCCGGTTGGCTGAAGCTCGATTGCGAGGCAGCTCCAGGCACTAGCCTTCCACCCTCATTGGCCGGCTCAGCTTGAGGCAGCTTTCTGATCCCGCCTCCGGGCTCGCACCACACTCCTATTGGATGGTTGTGCCCCAGGCCGAGAGGCACCTCCAGGTACAAACTCCGCCCCGCCTATACATTGGATAGCTCCTTCCTAGGGGCGGTTCCTGCGTGCTTCGCCAACCGGATCTTTGCTTCCATTGGCCGGCTTTGATTTGAAGGGCGGCTCCTAGTGCAGTCGCTGACTCCGCCTCGCGTTTCCATTGGCTGCTCCCAGTCCCGTGGCCATCCAGGTCCCGCCCCCTCGCCCGCCATTGGCCGGCTCTGCGGTGAGAGGCCGGTGCCGGCCGCACTCGCGTGGCCTGTGGCAGTTCGGCTGTCAGGGCGGACGGAGCAAGCGTTGGCCGCCGACATGACGCCTGAGGATCAGGAGACCCAGCCGCTCCTGGGGCGGCCCGGCGGCAGGTGAGCGGGCGGAGGTGGGTCCCGGGCCCGGGGGCGCGGCCTCGCTCCTCCGCTGCGCCCA